TTTTTTTTTTTTTTTTTTTTTTTTTTTTTTTTTTTTTTTTTTTTTTTGTTTCTTTTAATAATAAATCCTTATTCTATACATTACATGGCATTTCATCTACAATTCTCAAAGTTACGTAATACTTTTCCCTCCTGCTGCTTTCTCGGCCTCTGTCCATCCGCCTCGTCGTTATCTTTTTTCTTTCCGCTGCACGATGAATGCGTGAAAATTTGAAAAGAGTCCATGTGCACGCGCGCAAACGTCCCCACACCAAAATCACTTTTCTTCTCGTTACACTATTACTCGCGCATGTTTTTTTATATCATGTTTAATATATATAGTTATTCGTTTCTTTTTTTTTTTGCTCCTTCACATGTGTATCCTTAATTTTTTCGTCCTCGCGAACTCATATACGCAACACGACACACGACGCGGTAAAATGAATAAGTGTACATATAGTAGCGACGATCGAAAACACGGGGAAGGAAGACGATTCGAAATAATTAAACAAGTCGCGCATGACATTGCTGGGGGCCTGGAATCGGGGCAATCGCCAAGTACTTCTCACTAAATCGCAGTTAACGGTACGCGCGTATAAATAAGTATTCCTTATGCACGTAAAGCGTAAATTATCACAATGTAATTTTTCTTTTCATTTTTCCACAAACTTTTTGTTCTTTCATCGTCATATACCAAATTAGCGTAATTATATTAGTATATCACAAATCCGATTGAACCTACGAAAATCAATGCGCTCGTGCTTCGTACTCAAATATATATATATATCCATATGTCAACACTTTCTTTGACAGAGCCTCTTTTTTTAAACGATACGAAGCTTACGGTGACATTGCACCCTGAATTTCCGATGCGAAAGAACAATGTTAATCTTACGTAGGGGGTGTAGGAGGAAATGGACGAAAAAGTATACAAAAAGGCTCTGGCTCGCGTATAGGTACATGAAATATACATATACACACGCGCGCACACACTCTCTCGTTTTATTGCTTATGCGTTCGTTCTCTCGCGCCGCCAATACATGTTATGCTTATAATTATAATATTATGGTACGTGAAGGATATACATCGAAGGACTGAGGGTGTCGGTTAATTTTATTACTCATCATGTTATATGTACAAGCCAGAAAACGTCATCGTTTGCGAAATTAGTTCACAAACCGCTAATGCGTTGATCATTATGTGCATAACGTTACATTCGTTCTTTTTCACACACGCGCTTTTTTTTTTAATTTTTCGTCTCACGTGTAAAAGAGATCAACATTTTTCAATCGCCTTTCTTTTGTGTTGCCTTCTTTTTTCAAATTGTACTTTTCCCCGTCCATCTCGCGATAAATGGATGGTTGACGATTTTTGTATATTGGCGTTTTTCGTGTTTGTTCTCTTGAACACTTTTCGAGGAAAAAGAAAAACAATCAAGTACAAAAGAGCCGCGGTCGGTCGCTCGTTTTTTCGCGTCGAAAAAAAATTAATTGGTAAGTGCTCTTGTTTTGGTTCGATTAATTATTTATCATCGATTTACAGTTTTCACGTGTATTTCATACAATGCGCGTGTCATAAATGCTCGAAACTTTAGCTCCGCGTAAAACGTCCGTGTAATAAGGTATATATTTATATAATATAAAATTGTCACTTTTTTTTGATATCCGATAAGTCAATACTGTACTCTCCCCCACTTTTTTCCCTCCAACGAGAACAAAAAACGTTTTTTTCGTTTTATGTTTTTTTTTGTTTTGTATTGATTTTTTTTTTTTTTTAATTTACGAAACGTGAAAAAAGACACGATTGAAAAACGCAAGTGTCGTGTATTACCGTGAAAAAACGGGCAGTCTGTTAATTTTTGGGGTAAAGATGTTTTTATATATACATACATCATAAACAATGATATACTTATACATCGTGTCTTTTTTAATTTCACACAGGTATAAGTGATTCATTGCTTCTTTTCATTCTTTCTTTTATGTTTTCTTCTTAAATTCGTCGTTGTCCATTGTAAGTAATATATGAAAATGTGTCAAAATCTCGAGTCACAGGGTAAGATAACGTACCAAAAAAAAAAAAAAAAAAAAAAAAAAAAAAAAAAAAAAAAAAANAGCGAGAAAAATAAACTTTTTTTTTCCTTGGTTCTCGGGGGGAAAAAAAAAAAAAAAAAAAAGAAAAAGATATTGTAAAAAATCGACAGAGCTTCGGGGTGGAAACGTCATAGCCCGAAAAGAAAAAGTATGCAGGTAAGTATACATATTTAAAGCTCTTTCGACGGCAGTGGATACATATTTTATTGTTAAGTACTTATTCGTTGAATTCTGGCGAGACATACTTATAGTCAACGTATGTACTTAAATCTGCTTTTATATATCAATGACCTATTTTTTTATATTCATCCAAAATTCTCTCTCGCAAGATTTTACGATTATACAATCAATAATAATTATATATATCATCCTTTTATCATCATCATCACGCTCAACAGCACCTATGTCGTGTATTTGTATATTATAATGTATACCTAAGTATTTTTTTTTTTTTTTTTTACGCATCGCGCGTTCGCTGCTAACGTCCGAATCGAGCAACGGCACTGCCTGTGTGTAATTTGTGTATAATTTAAACTGTACCATATATATATGTTATTTATTTGTCTCTATATTGATGATATACCATGCCGTAGCCTACTTTTTACGCCGATTGTCAATGTGTAAGAGATTCTCGCGGTCGCACGTACAACGTGTACGCAGGTATGGTATTGTATATCAGGAGTGCAACATTTAGGTGGNATACCTAATATATCCATATCATATAGTACAACCGCGCAAAAAGAGAGGAGGTCATAAATATATATATGTATATGTATGTATAAATATTTATATATCATATAATCATCAAAAAATGTATACATGCATATAAATATCTATCTATGTATATGTGTATACTCGTATTCAAACGGTCGTCTCCATAACGTCGTCGGTGTGACAGGTGGTGGTGGCGTACTGTCAACAGATGCTGTCCTTGGAGTACTTGTCGGCAAACTCGTCCTCCTCGTCGTCGAGATCGTCAATGATTTGTGGCGGCTGCTGGTGGTGCAGGTGCAGCTGCTGCTGCCTGTGCCAAGTTCCGAGCATGCTGTTACCGTCGTGGCGGCCGATACGGGCAAATGTCGAGTTTGCGTAGCGCGGCTGCTGCTGCTGTTGTTGATTCATTTGTTGTTGTTGGTGAACGGACGAGTCGAGGTTGCCGTTGTTGCGGTTGACGCTCGAGTGGTTCGTTGGACTGTTGAGGTGGTTCACACTCAGTACTTGGACCTTCTTCTTCTGCAGGCGCGTCTGCTCGTCCGCCTATAATGATATATAGTTAGAGACCACAAGTTATTAGGTTATGATTACAAGCTGTTTGTTATCATTCGGTATACCTGAGGCGGTAGCTTCTTCTGCAGGTGACGTCTTTGGAGTCGGCGTCGCCGGTACAGGCAGTACTTGAGGCAGCCGGTGGCCAAGAGGAGGATGAGGAAAATACCCAGGGCTCCGGCTCCGATGGCCACGTAAAGCAGCGTCACGCCGAATCGGTACGAGCAGTTCTCCTCGCGCTCGTCGAACCCGGAGGGACAATGGTGCACCCCGTCGCACCACAGCACTGAACTTATGCACGCGTTCAGCTCTGGGCATCTGCAATTAAATTATTATTACTATTTTTTTTTTTTAATATACAACACGAGAAAATGCTGAGCTTGATCATAATTATTATGGCCTTGTTGTTATCGTCATATTCTCCATCCAGAAAAAAAGCCTCATCGAGCGGGCGTTTTCTCACGTACTCATTTTATCTCCCGATGACGATGCATTGTCACTTTCCGGACGCGTGAGCGCGACAATATCTTTTACTGATAAAAAATCGAAGCAGGTATATATAAACAAAAGGATGGAAAAAAAGGTTCATTCACCTGTAAGGGCACTCAACGTTTGAGGGCGCGAGGGCCCCCTCGAAGAAGTTGTCGTCCGCCGGGCCGGCCAGTAGCCTCTTGGATATGGCCATCCAGGTGACCACGTAGTAACCCGGCTCCTGCTGCAGGAACTCGACGACGAAGCTCCTCGAGTGTTGCTGCTGTTGCTGGTGCGACTGGGGCGGCCGGTCCCCAGCCGCGGCCACGACGTCGCTCGTCCGATTCCAGCCCCCGGAGATGAGGTCGACGATCCTTTGGCCACCACTGCGCCGAGCAGTGCCGTTTCCCTTGGCCGGACACACCACCGTGCGGTCCCGCGTGTTTGCCGCCGGGTAGACGATTATGCGGTTGCGCGTCGGGCACTCGTCGAGGTTGTGCCTCGTCAGCCGAAAGCCCGGGGTCTTCAGGTAGAGGAAGTGCAGCCGCGAGTCCTCGGGCTCTATGAGCCACGGCTCGTTCACGCAGTGCGTCACCTCGGCGGCGCTCGCTCCCCCGGAGCGCTGCTGCTGCGAGGGCTCCTGCGACGGAGCGCCCATGAGCACTGGACCGAGGCTCTCGTCAACCGTCGCCAATCCACCCAGCCGGTTGCGCAGCACACCCTCCGAGTCCAACAACGACGATCCCGACACCTGTACATATGGGTAAGTGGGATTTTAACTTTTTTTCTTTTTTTCAAACAAAATTCATCCCTTTCGGTTGTACGCGATGGTTGTAGGTGTACCGTGTTGCGGAGCGGGCCAGACGACGCCGGGGTCAGGGGTGGGCTGCGCAGCGAGATCTCGCCACTGGTGCCCCTGAGCCGCCTCTCCTCGAGCCTGCTCAGCCTCGACGAGTCGGACAGCGAGTGGGACGAGCCGTGGCAGGCCTGGGCGCCGGCGGCGGCCGCGGCTGCAGCTGCTACCGCGCCGGCCGAGGTGTGCTGCTGCTGTTGCTGGTTATGGTGCTGATTGTGGTGCTGCTGGCCGAGGTTTGTGGCGCCCAGAGCTTCCCCGGGGACGGCCAGGGCGGGTGTGGTGGCCGAGGCCACGGGCACGAATCGATACTCTCCCTCGAAGAAAAAGTCGAGGTAGTCCTGGGTGACGTTCATCCGCGTGACGACGAAGCTGAGCTCGAGCACCGCCGAGGACAGGCTCTGGAAGACCATCCGCTCGCTGAGGTTCGAGCACAGGCAGTCCCGGGGCAGCTGGACGCCCTGCCACGGGTACTCGGCCAGGCGAAGCTCGGCCGTGCCCTCCTCTGCTGGTTTTTGGAGATGAACGAAAAGAATATTAGAATACTACATCAGAAGGGAAGAACCAAGCGACCCACCGTTCTTCTGTTGGGAGCCGACGGTTCTCCGGTTGTTCCCCGTGGGCCTCTCGCAAGACCACCTGTTGACGAGCGGATCGATCCTGGATTTGCAGCTCCTCCCGCCGAAGGAGGCCCTAGTAATGGCCAGCTCGAGTCTCCGGTCGGGCCCGACCTCGAACCGGTACACGCAGCTCAAGTTGGCCGCGCCGCCCCGCCCGTAGAAGAAGACGCTCCTTGGCGAGCCGAAGCTTTGGAACTCGGAGGCCGAGCCACCGGCGCTCAGCACCCGGTTGCAGGAGCTGGCCTCGTGCACAAACTCGTAGCGCACGACGAAGCTCACCGGGTACAGGGCGCTGCCCTGGCGGAGGACGTGCTCGAGGGTCAGGTGCCGTCCCGTCGACACGTAACTCTCGGCCATGCTGCAGGGACGCGTGTGACGGCTGCCGTTGCGCAGGAGGCTGTGGTCACAGAGACGAGGCACCTCGTCCTTGCAGAACTCGCCCATCAGCGTCGCGTTCTGGGAAACGAGAAACCAGAGGTTGGTTTGTTTGCTCCTCCCACTTGCATTACGTTAGAATGACAAAAAATCGATAGTCCTTTTATCTATTGATTATATTTTCCAATTGAAAAAACAAACAATAAGATAAAAATTGAAATCACTGGTCAATCAACATTTTCCAAAAAAATGCGCATATGTATATCCGAGTTTCCACGCGCGTCTGACCAGACACGGTCAGTTTCTACTTGCGCGGGCGCGCACACACGACGAGGGGGGTGGGGAGCAAGATAAGGCTGAAATCCACGCGAGTCGTAAAATTTTTCCAATCTCCTGATGGAATCGAAAACTCCTCGGCTCTACCCTTTGCAGATCCCTCCGTAATAAAACACCCTCGTGGAAAAATCCGCATTTACAAAATGAGACTCAATAGAAAAAAAAGCTGCACACACCTCCCTGACTCCCGAGGCAGCGTCCGATGAGCCGGTGGTCCCCGGATGGGCAGCGTCTCCCTTGAAAATTCTCGAGGAAGCCGTGGCGTGCCTGCCGCGCTCGTCGCCGATTCGCTCGCCGTTCCAGATGAGCAGCTTGACGTTGCACTCCGTCCCGGGGACCGCGTCGCCGGGCACTGCCGCGAGACTGCTCGTGGGGTCGGTGGTCGCCGCGTAGTACTTGACGAACGCCAGCCAGACGATCTCGTTGGGCTTGCCCTGGAAGTGGTAGCGGCAGGTCGTGTTCGGCGGCAACGAGTGCTTAGGGTTCTCCAGCATGCCCGAGCTGCTCTCGTAGCTCGAGATGTAAAAGTCGCACTTGTCGTTGTTCTTCATCACGAAGCTCGCCGTCGAACGCTCGTCCACGAATATCACCTGCGTTTCGGGCAAATCGTACGCGCGTGTATTTTCATTAACCCTATTTATTCTTTTCTAGGGTGTGAGACTCACCTGCACTTCGAGCTCGAAGCCTGGCAGAAAGGACAGGGGCACGGGATGGAAGGGGTTGTCGTAAGGCGACGTGTGGAACTCGAGGAGCATGGTGTCGCGGCTGCCAACGACATCGGGGACGGCGTCGCCACCGCAGAGCCTGACGAGGACGCGGTCGGACGTCGAGCCACCGTCGTAGACCGTCAGGTAGTCCTGCACCACGTTGCACTGGTCCCAAACTCTGTGCGCGTTACAGCCACATGGGAATTTGGTTATTTTCGTTTCAGGTAACAAAAAAAAAAAAAAAAAAAAAAAAAAGGATTCTATCCCAGGTTTATAATAACAGGTATACAAACGAGTGACAATCGGTTAAAATCATCCCTCACCGGCGACGACGGGTCTTAATTTAATTATCTGGTCCTTCAAACGAAAAGCACACACCGAGAGAGAGAGATCGCGATCACACACGCGAAATATTTTACTATTGTTATAGGGTGGTACGCAGATAGCGAGTGTCTATATGCCGAGGACCAATTAATTAATTCAATCTTCATCATTCGGGGGACCGGTATAGCATCATATAGCGAAAGTTTACCATTATAACCGTATACTTACGTGTTTATGTATTCACGTGTTGTACCGTTATAACTTCCCGATATACAGTTGGGTTCTGCCTCCACGTGACGTTTCGACGCGCGAAACGAAACTCTGACCAAACGATCGATAAGTACCCGCTCTCTACATTGCACCCACACTTTCCGCACCAAAATAACCGGCCACGTATAATTAATACAAGCCAAAGTCTACAACCCGACACAAATACACCCCCGCTCGTAAATATGTTCGTCGCGCATTAACGAGTAAGTGGGTGTGGGGGGGGGGAGGAAACGCGAGGCACTTATCGGGGTGGGTTATAAATAATCATAAAGTCGAGAGTATAGGTACGGGGGCGAGCTAAAGTTAATTAGTACATAATATAACGCACAGCACGTTCGGCGACTAGGCATTTCACGTGTATATCAGCCTGTACAGTTGCTACTGCTGCCTCGACATACGTATATATGTACACACAGCGAAAAGTAATCGATTCGGGTCTGTCAATCGCTTGATAAACTGGGCCGAAGTTACTGCGGAGAGTTTCGCACGGATATATACGCGGCCGGCTTAATTTATTCATCCACCGACGAGTCGTTACGTTGCATCAAGTTATTACAAAGCAACGTGTGTACGTGTACACGTATACTGGTTCTTGTACATTTCGTTTTTAGAGCTCTTACACGCGTAAGGGCGTATACTCGCACGCAAGTAAATTTGTCACTTTTGACGATGTATTAAATTACACGCGCCGATTAGACCGCCGATTCCCGGTGATTAGCGTTTCAAGCTCGTATTGTCTGCCAAACTAAAAAGCAAAGCGGCCAAAATCGCGGAAATATTCGGGTGCGCGGAGGAGCGAACAGAAATGTAATCAAGCTTAAGTTCTCCAATGTACCGCGACACGTAACACCTGCGGACCGTAAGTCACCGGGGGGGAGGATGAACAAAGCGCGCGCACGAGGAAAAAAAATCGGTTGTAACGCACCAGAGCAAACAAACAATGAAACGAAGGGAAAAAAAAGTGAGCCAACCTGAGCGTCCTCCTGCTGGTGTCGTACTTGTTGACTTGGTCCTTGATGTGTATCTTGTGGCTGTTGCGCTGGCTGACGGCTAACAGGGCCCTGTGTCCCGGGGGCGCGCGCTTCTGCTCTATCCTGTAGTAGCAGGTGACATTGCGCGGATACACGCCCGGATAGTTGGGCGACTGCAGCCGGCAGGCGCGCTGGTCGCATCTGCAATAACACACGTATATATACACATGCGCCTCGTTAAACTTGCACGGGGGGTTTAAGTACAACCCCCGCTCGATGTCGCGCCAGCGCTTCCACACCCACAGTTTGTATTATATATATATACATACTCCTTTTATACAAATTACATTGTATGCGCGTATATGTAGGTATATACGGATATTATCTTCTTCTCCTTCGGCGTGTGCCGGGAGACGACGGCGTTCAAGGCGATACACACACCCATGCACGCGAACGTGCAGATTTTACGTGTTTTCGCACGCGCTCGCGTTTTCGTATTAATGAGGCGTCGCAGCTATAACACTGTACGTAACGGGGTGCGCGCCACTGCTGCAGCTGGGCCTCGTTAAACTTGGATATCCAAGGGGGAGGGAAGAGAAAGGGCACATGTATATACAGGGGGTACGGGGGGCGGGGAGGTGTCGAGAGGGTACGTTCTCTCTTGGGTCGAGACACTTTGATTTTTCCCGTCCCAGAGCTCTGGGATTCATCAAGTGCGCGATGCGCTCTTCCATCCCGGCTCCTTGTCTGTTTTTTTTTCTTTCTCTCTTTCCTTCCCCGTTTGCTTTACTTTCTTCACTTTTTAATTAGATCATCGATGTGCCCCTGTTTTGTCACGCGGAGGGTTTGCTCTGTACTCGGTATCAGGGCAATTGTAATTTTTCGGTCTTCTTTCGTTGAAAAAAACAAACAGCTTTCAACTTGTAACGAAAAAAAGGGATGTCACCGCAAACTTTCCCAGATGAGCTTCGGAACAAGTCGCAAGGGCCCACTTGGCATGTATTTTTTGTTACCTTGCTCTCGACGCATCCGAAACAAGGCCATAATCGTTCTTATACGGTGATAACCAACTTTTCTCCCCTTCGGGGGCCCCCCAAATAAATACACACATATACGTGTACTCGGTTGAAAAGAGCGACGGCGAGGACGAGCACTTGATGAATAGATAATAAACGCGAGCTTAAAGAGACACGCATCACCGAGAGGGAGGGGGGGAGGATAAGCAACAAGGGAGGGTCGACCTTTGCTAATGAGCCTTGGCTCGATGAAACTTGCACGATGCGGGGCCAAGGGTCTCTCGAGAGCGCCGCTAATACCTCGGCCGCTTGGCTGCCCCAACACATTACAAGCCCACCCCTGAATACTTATACATACACTGTATTATATGTTGAAACGAGTGCTCAAAAATATATATGTATAAGTAGGCACAAATGTGCATGTATATATATACTAACCTCGTGAAAACGCGATCGCAGTAAGTGGCATTGACGAGCTCGCCGCGCCACGTGCTCATGCTGCTGTTGCCGTACCTCAGGTGGGCCTCGCTGCGCTTCAAGAACTTGTACGACAGCTTGAAGTCAAAGTTGTAGTTGTTGCCCTGGAACGCGATTTACATTTTTTTTTTTTTTCGTTCGATTGACCCTCCTTTGGCTGTTGAAACGACGTACAGTTGCCACTGCATTACGCGGTAAGTGTGCGGGTCACCGCGGAGCCGATCGACTTGCTCGACGAGCAAAGACGCCCGAGCCTTTCCCGATTTCGGGGTTTATCGAAGCAATTACGCGCGAGTCAGCGATTGCTGTTCGCCAGGTACAGGCTGCACTCGGGAGCCGATCGGCAATTCCCGAGCTGTCGATAATTGCTCGCGGCATCGAAGGGTTGCTCCACAACCCCCTTTGCATCGGCGCTCGATTTAATTGACGGAGGACTCGGAGCCGCGACGTGTTTTGATTAACAACAAAGTTGGAATACACGTACATGTACGGGCACACACAACGAACCGAGGGATCGTTTTTTGCGGGTATACGGAGCGAGAGAAGGAGGGAGCAAAAAAGAAGGAAAGAAATGGAGGCGCAACCGGGGTGGTGGCGGCGCTCGCTCGGAAAAACGCCGACACAGTAATTGAAAATGTAAATTAAACTTGCCGCGTTGCTTCGTCCCTTTTTCACGCATCGGGTGCAACTTTCTTTGAAATTTTTGAATCGAATCGTCGTCATCATCGTCATTCGTAGTATGCATGGCGTGTCTTTCTCTCTTTTTGCTCTTTGGTTTTGCTTTTTAAAAAGATAAACACGAAGCCCTCGGAAGATGATTTTCGTCGAAACTCCGCGCAACGGGGGTATGTTTTGGAAAACACTTTTCATCAAAAGTTTGGGAAACATACCACGTATATGTGCGCACTCGGGAAAATGTAGTTATTTTTCCTATTAAGAGCATTTCCGCGGTGATTGAAGTATTTGACATATTGAGCGATGAAGGATGAAAAACAAAAACAAAAAATTGCTCCGATTGAATCCTCCACGAGTTTAACACACAAAAACCCGATGTAAACTCGAGCTGTGGATGAAAAACAGTCCAACGCTACGATGAAACTTGACTGCATTTAGATCTCGATATTATTGTATTATAATCTAAAGCAACGCGATGGTACGAGACGCGCCATAATTAAACGCATATACATATATACCTGTCCGGGTAGCCACGAGAGGTAGAGGGTCAAGTTGATGGAGCGAGTCTCGCTGTAGTAGACCGTGTAGCCCCAGGCGCTGCCGCACCACTGGCCACCCGTCGGCGGCCGGCCCTCCTCGCTGATGCTCATGTAGCCGTCCGGGCAGCCGTCGGACGTGTAAGACTGGAAACGGCCCACCGTGAACGTGTCAAAGGTCAACTGCAACAATTTACAATTTTAATTTTTTTTCTTCTTCCACATTATTATATGATCGCGCAAAACAAAGCGCTCGTCCCTTGTTGCGGGCAAAAATGTGTTTTTTCTCCGCTCGCCCAAGCTAGGAGTTTCCGCGCACCGCGGTGTATTCAGGACGAAACTTTGCGGGTATAAAAAATGAAAACAAAACATCTCCACCCCCACCAACAGACATTCTCCCGCGCCGTTCTCTGTTTTTTAATACTCTCTCTTGCCTCATCGCGAGTATCGCATCCTTTTGTACACACATATACATCTTTCTTTGTTATTATCATCATCATCATCATCATCATCAACATCTTTTTTATTTCAGCAAACAACGGAAACATCTCTGCGTTCCCAACACGTACACGCGTGCGTGTTTATGTATATGTTTTAAAAGCAAAACTGTTGAGTAATACTCGCGCGTCTCTCGCTGCGAATCTTTCGACGAGCTAAAAGTTTTACGTGGGGGAAGGGGGGGGGGAACTTTTCCTTTTTCAGCAAACGAATATCTAGTTTTTCCATTAACTGGTCGCCCCCGTAAATCTCGTCGGTGTCCACGTACGTGTGTATATTTATGGAGACGGAGTAACAAACACCTCGTGTATGATGTGCATCGCGACGAAAGGTCAAACGCGCGCAAATGAGATTTCGGGCCGACGACGCGCACAAAAGTTGTCTCTCTCCTGCTGTACTACGCGGTGTTTGTAGCGAGAAAAATAAACTTTTTTTTTCCTTGGTTCTCGGGGGGAAAAAAAAAAAAAAAAAAAGAAAATTCTCGCGGTAGTTATATTTCATTTCGTGTACAAGGTATATATACACCCGGGGAGGGCTTTCAAATGCAAAACTCATTTCGAGGATGAGCGACAAGCGTGTATAAGTACGCGCGCGGGGCAAAGGAAAGAAGAAAAAAAAAAAAAAAAAATTTTCCGTGTAAATTCTTAAACCACTGCTCTCCCTCGAAATCCGGCTTTCATAATCCACACTTGCCCGCTCGAGTCGCACACGGGGCGCGGCCTCAAAAATCAAGTGTACGATGATAATCCATATACCATGGCTTTTGTGTTCATTTGGGGGGAAAAGTGCCCCGCCCCCTCGTTGAATTTCAACCGCTAAAGCGCGACACCGATTTTTCCACCCTTCGAAGGGCAGGGGTGTACATAATATAATTAAACCGGCTCTAGGAGTTGCGCTCGAGTAGCGGGTGCTTTCTGAAATTTGCCCGAGACGAGCCAAAGGGGAAATGTGGGGCGCTTCGTTTGAATGATTGATGTTTTGCAGGAATAAAATGAACGAGAGACGCGGGACCGTAGCTCCGTATAGGTGCACCTATACTTTTACTCGATTTGCTACATTCCGTGTACACACTCGTGTCCTTTGACTGCGCTTTCATATTGCATTACCGGTGCATTTGTACCAAACTCTCCGCGCGTCTCGAGGAGTAAAGTCGCCAACGAGCCAAACACGCGGACTCGCGTACGATATTGTATCCTGCTGGAGTTGGAAATGATGCGTGCAAAAGAATATAAAGAATAAGGCAACGTACCTGCACGAGGTCCCCGAATTCCTGGCCAGCCGCGGTGAAGTTGAGGTGACACAGGAAGGGCAGCCTCTCCTCGCGTGGCCTCCGTATTTGCAGCTCGTACGTCCGACCCACATCTCCGTACAGCGTGCGGTTGCAGGCTGCACAAGTGCACACGGGAAAAAAGGAAAAAAAGGAAATAACAAGTGGAATAACAACGTTACTCGTCTCCTGCGCCTTCATTTTCTTTCGCTTCTCTCGACCCCGGGATTTTTATATTCCTCGCTCCATCCCCCGACTCGCTTTAATCGTTGTTTATTCGCACGCTGCGTGATTCCAAGTGCCGACCGAGTTTTGCCCGACGAGCGTGAAGCAAAAACCTCCCGAGGGATGCTGGAGGAAGGAACGGGGAAAAAAAAAACGAGTGCCCCCCGCGCTTTTTTAGAAAAATTACAGAGCCGAGAAGTCGGCTTTGCAGCTCTTTGGGATGCATAATGTAAATTTTGTTTGGCTCTGGCTGTGAATCATCGTTGACAAAGCTCGGCCAAAGCCAATTATTCGGTCTTCGCAATTAAGATGCTCGCCGGGCCATTTTTGGACCAACTTTTTCGTTATTTTTTCCGAAAAAAAAAAAAAGGGGGGGGGCACTGATATTATGCATATTCGTACATTACGTGATAAAAATACGCGAAATCTGCACACCCGCGTTACAGTACGGGACTGGTGGTGGCAACCCTCTAAAATAAATTAGCCCCACGCAGTTCCAACAGTCTTTCAATCAAATCACTCAATTAGACCGTAAAAGCCAACTCGTGTGAATTAAACCCTTTTTTCCCTGATGTATTTATTAATCATAATCCTTTCGTCGTTCCCTATACACACACCTATGTTTGCCCGGGGTCTACCAACAAGAGAAACAGCTTGTATCAAAAATATACTCGCATTAGTCGTAAATTTTGCTGCACAACCCCCTTACTTTAGCGTTGACAATTGTTAATACAGTACCTCTGGACGATCGACCATCCAAGCATAATATATTATATGCTCACCTCATGCTTAACTTGGAGCGTAATGCCCTCCCGTGAACCCGCCAACGTAGCATGTACACACTCGTGCAATTAAACATCCCTCGTGGTATAATTGTACACATAACTACGTATGTACACGGTAGGAATTAACTGCGAAACAGTTCATAAAAAAAAAAAAAAAAAAAAAAAAGGCGGATCGCAGCTCGATTGATTGCTAAACATTAAAAGTAAAGGTGAACCGGGCGGGAAGGCAGGGCTTGACTATTTCGCTGTTAAAAGTGGCTGGCTGTAATTTGATTGGCGTCCGTCCTATATACACACGTGTTTATATATATATGTATGTATATACGCGTGTTTTCCGGGGGGGGGGGGTGCTAATCCCGGCCCTCGCCGGGAAACTTTTCCCGAGAATCAGACAGCAGATTTCCGTCGGTTATTGTCTCGAACTTTTCAGCCGCTCCCTCGGCCGAGTGGATTATTGGCGCATGCATATACTCGTACACGTAATTATATGCAGGTTTGCGACGATGATTATTATATTTATCGTGCGCAAAAATGGGGCATCGAGAATTTAATAATTCAGCGTCGCCGCGAGCTCAAATTGGAATTAAATGCATTAGCGGCGAAATGATACTATGGGGGGGGGAGGTGAATAAAAGAGAGAGAGAGAGAGCTTGTCCGGGTGCACTATTTAAATATAATCAGAGAGCGTGCGTTGAAAATTCATTAAGAATTCCTCTCCTTCTCTTTCATTTTTTCTCCCTCGGTTATTTGCGTGATGCAGGAGGAGGATTATTATTATTGGCGTTGCACCGGTTTTTTTTTCGCCTTCCTTCGATTTCATTATGTTTAATTTGAAAACGCGCGAGAGCGAGCTCGTTCGGAATGTAAAACGGCAAATCTTGTAAATAAATCTTTTTTTCTCTCTCTTTCTTTTAAATCCCGCAAAAACTGGGTGGCCTTTTTTTTATCACCGAGGACAGAGATATTACGCGTCGAAGCGACGCGAGAGTCGGAAAGAGGAAAAAAAAAAAAAAAAAAAAAAAGAAAACAATCGTCACCCAAGTACGTAGGATGTACCAGCACAATGCGAGCTGCACATCATACTCGACGACTTGACTCCGATGCTCGAGAGAAATGTGTATACGGCACAGGCACGGGGTGCAACCCACAGCACGAATGTAGAGCGCGAATAGGTACACGTCAGGACCAAAAAGCAGTAAAAGTATGTATACGCGCGAGAGGGGGTGGACGACACGACGAACGAGTAGGAGCAGGAGGGGGTTAAAGAGGATCCATCGGGCGCTAAAGCGGGGCGCGCTCACCGCGTAATATCCGCAAGAGAGAAAGAGGGAAGGAACAAGCCTCGTCGTCGTCGTCGTAAATCCCTCTCTTTCTGTTCTTCCTCCAACTGCAGCCCACCCACCCGCGTCTTCCTGCACTCGCGCGGTTCTAACGAGCGAGCATATTTTTCTCTCCTCCCGCTCGGCGAGATGTGCGAGGTGGACGTTTGTATATACGAATGGTGTGTACATTATACGCACAATAAAAAAAAAAAAAAAAAAACCGAGCCAGTCGAGTGAGGATTTCATGCAAATGCTCCCCACCTCCCCTTTGCCCCCCGAAAATGAGCGAGAGACTAAACATCTCTGGAAAAGAAAATAACGTTGCCCCCCTCAACCCCCCATTATGTGTACGGTTGTGATTTTCAACGACAGGACAAGTGTACAATGTAGGCGATAGTTCAAAATCAGGGTAAAAAAGGTCTATTATGATAGGGAGTGGGTATTATAGAGGAAGCAATAATAGTAACGATAATATTGAAATACTAACGGGTGCAGTACTCGGGCTCGTCGCTCTTGTCGCACTCGTCCTCGGCTCCGGGAGTGCAAAACTTGCCCTCCTCCTGGCAATCGTTTTCACCGTCGCAAAACTTGTCCTGGGCAATGCAGGCGCCGGTGCTCGTGCACCTGTGCTCGCTCACCTTGCAACTCCTGCTCGCGTTGTGCACCAGTCCCACCGTGCTCGTCGCAATCGTCGTCCTGCCGACACCAGCCCCGTCATTGGCCCCGAGCAGGACCGATTGCCGTTGTTGTTGCTGGTCGCGGTGGCGATTAGTCCCGGGCGTCGTCTCGGCCCCGCCCCCCGCGCGGCACACCACCACGAGGAGGCTCGCGGCAGCCAGGAGCAGGCAGCCCGACGACATCGGCCCGGCTCTCTCTCTCTCTCTCTCCCTCGAACCCCGGGACGCCTCAGTGGCTGCTCGCGAGCCAGCCTCCCTCCGCCCCTCCTCGCGTCGACATCATTACAACTGCGAGGAAGACCTCGACACCGGGGATCTGTCGGGCGGGCCAGGAGCGCCCTCCCAGGACGCCACCGCCGTCTCGCCCGGCACTCACCATCTCCTCGCTAAGCGCCCATCGCACGCTGCGGGGAGGGGGGGCCCACTATAAGCACAACACCACACGCGCGCACGGACCGGGGTGTCCGGTACCTATCGGTCGGAGGAAGAGGAGGCGTCGTCCTCGCGGTCAATCGATCGGTACATAGGTTTGCCACCGGGTTAACGCGTCAAGCCGGAGTTTACACACGCTCTGGTCCCTCTCGTTGGAGTTGGACGCGCGGAGCAACGGTACGTATATACGGCACCCTTCTATATATATATATATATATGTATCTATTTGTACACACACACGCGCGCGCGCGCGCGTTCACCGGCCCTGCGGAGCTTCAACCCTCGTCTCTCGCCTCCCCCCGCCGCGCGTACACAAACACGCGCGTTCGCCTGCCCGTCTCTTCGTTGGTCAGTGTACAACTCGTCCTGGTGCTCCTCCTGCGCGTGCATATACGCGTATGTCGATAAAGTCTCCTCGCTCGCGCTACCTCTTATCACGCCGTGTCCCTTTGTACGTGTCTGTATGTATACATCAAGGGGTGAAGACCCCTCCTCTGCTACAATTACTCCTCCTCCTCCTCCTCCTCCTCCTCTATGTACGTACACAACGGCACATATGTGCATACTTATATGTATATATATATATATATGTACCAAGGGAATCGAAATTGGAGGAGGGTGCCCGTGCCTGCAGTGCTATATATCTTTACTCTCTTTCTGTATGTATGTGCTCCGGTGCTGGCTGGCGTGGCTAGCGCCGGGGCTGGCTCGGCAGGCACTGCTGCTCCACCACCTCGGCGGCGTTATCCGGGGGTTGGTCCGCTCCCTCCCTCTCTCTCTCTTCCACACAGATATGTATATCCATACGTGCGTGGTACACTGTCTGGCTAGGTAGTGCCTCATACACAATGTACGCATGTGTATCGTTGGTGTTGGGGTAGCGCTCGCGCACAGTGGGTAAAACACCCCATCACGCTTTATATACCTATACCTGCAAGGCCGTCCATCTCTCGCGGGCCTTGTATATACATATACATATGTGTGTGTGTGTATGTGAGTATAAGTACCTTACGTATACACCGAAACAATGCCAAAAGGGGATGCGCGCAAGCGCGAGCCCCGGCGACTCTATACGGTATAGCTGCGAGCTCCCCCGAATGTATTGTGTGTGTGTACCTATATGTAGAGGAACGGCTGCAGGACGAGAGACAGACGGACGGACGTGTGCGGAGGAAAGGAGCGAGAGAGTGTTGCAGCAGGGAGGTACAGGGATACAAGCAAAGGAAGAGAGAGAGACGAGTTTTCGGCTGCGGGGGGCTGCTCTGCACTCCCTTTTCGAGCTTTTTTGTTTTTTTTTTTTTTTTTCTTCTCTCTTCACCGCCCACCTATACCCTCTGTTCTGCGCTGCCTCGTCCCATAGCCCCCTTTTTTATTTCAAGGGGTTGCCACCACCTCCTCTTCCTCCTCATCTGGCTCTTTTGAGCAGCAGTCGCAGAAAGGGAGTACAAGTCTCTCTCTCTCTGTCCCCGACATGCTTAGAGGACGTGTATTACGGCTCTCTTTCCCTTTGCAGGTCCGTCCGCGAGGGAGGAGTATAAGGAGCCCCTGTCTTTCTTCCTTCCTCTGCTCCGCCGTCCCTCCCTCTCTTGAGTAGAGAAGCACCCGCCCGAGATGTATGAGACTGAAAGATTAAACGGGCGCTCCTGATGCTCCACGGGACTGCACTTGTATACCTACCTCTTTCGTAGCGGGAGGCGCAGGGGGGTAGAACAGCTATTACATCTCTCTCTTGTGCGGGAAGAAAGAATAAGGGGTGGGTGGACACCCACTGAATGGATATATATATATATATGTATTATTTTTCAACCCGGTCGGTCCAGCTTTGATTGATAAGCCTATCGTCGAGATAACTTATTGTTCTTTCCCTCTGTGTGCGAGTATACGTGAAAGGGGTTTCTCTTAAACGCCGAGGAATTCCAAGATAGCGTCGGAGAGGGGAGGGGGGGGGGGAATATCGATGGATATTCTTTTCTGTTGGGGAGGGAGAGTTGGCGCGTCGAAGGTAGATTTATTACGGTGGAGAATCAATTTTTATGTTTGTTTTCGTCCCGAATTCGGTGAGCTTTTCAGAAAAATGCGCGCTTGCGCCCCCCCCCCCTCCACGTACACGTTATACACGCTTAATCAGAATTCTTATGGTTTATATGGGGATGGTGCAGGCCTTCGTTGAATTTCTATGTGGATCTATGCGTGGGGGGGTAGAAAAGAATGGACGAATTGGTGAATGGGAGGTTCCGGCTTTTTGCGCATTTTACTGCATAGCGTTGAATGTTAACAAGAAAGCTGACGCGTGCGGTATGGAATTTTTCTTTTTTTTTCTTTTTTTTTTTTGCTGTTGTTGTTCAAAAAACACGCCGCCGGGCACACGCGAGCATCGGACTGAATCTGTAAGGGAGTTTGGAGGGTGGAAAAAAATTGCCTTGGCTTGCAACGAAAGAGAGTGAGAGAAAAAAGAGGGGCGTTGGGGGGGGGGTGACATAAAGAGACGATTAACGTGATTTACAATATGCGTTTTTTCCCACGCGATATAAGCGCGTTATATTTTCTCATCCGAAATTAATCGACGAATGGCACTTTCAACACAATTTTCGGGCTTACCTTGGGGGCCGGGGGGGGGTAGATAGCCCATCGATCGGTCATTTCACCCCCCTTCTTCCATCTACCACCAAAGCATCTGGTAGGTTTTTTTTATGTACATATACAGGAAATTCAAACTCATGCATAGAAGCTGTATATTAGGGCTGGGGGGGGGGTGGAGGAAATGTACGATGAACTTTAGCCAATATATATGATCAGGGCAGCTCTCGCATTGGTCGTACACATAAGATGTATAGAACTGCCTGTCTACGTGGCACCCGTACATATATATGTATATAATAAGATAAGGTAAGTCCTCGCACCCGGTTGGTGAGATACGTACAGGGGAGAAGTTGTTGTTTTGAATGAAGCTGCTGCCGCTGGGGATGGAGAGTTCCAACGGCAGCGGATTATCGACGCGAACTACTATTAAGCGCTGCAGCAGAGAACGAATGGACTTAATAAACGATCCTTCGAACGGGATAAGTTACATTTAAATTTTGGTACGTACACATAGGTAGAGGTGTACTTACTTGTGGTATCGCGACAACGAGAGGTGGGTGGAAATGTGTTTGAAATATATAAGCTAGCGATGAAAATTATACACATAGGCGCAATAGGCGATACATCGTGCACGCTCCGCGCCAAGTTATATTATAACATATATTCTGGAGAAGAGCACGCGGGGGAGGAAAGGGTGGAAGGCACTTCTCTCTCTTGCGTACAAGTAACGTTCTCGAGAGGCTTTAGGGGGGTGGGGGGCACACACAATATAGCGAAATTAGTTGCCTGTCGAGTTTCACTGACAAATAAGCGGTGCGCACACGTACAGGTATCCTACACCTACGTGTACGATGTATACGCATATCTCATCTCGCTTCGATTGAACTTTAACAAGTATTTAATGAGCAAGTGCGGTGTGCAATATCGGAGCGGCGTGGTGAAAAAAAAAAAAAAAAAATTGCCCGCTCTTGTGTAGTACGTGGAAGCGGTACTCGTGATTGTGCAAGTATGTACATACGTGTAACGTAGGAAAAATTTCGTTATCAAGACATTTTCCCACAGCGGTATTGTTGCTCTCGATTTATCTAAATTGCTGACGATTTCCAAAGCCCCTGAATGTATATACGTACCTGCTCTCAGCGGTTTCCGTTCCCCGGCAGGTTTCTATTACATTTTACAGAATTTACGGGATTCATGGATGAAAAGTGAACTTCAAGTTCCAATTGAAAATATATTTTTATACTATAACCTTTTTTTTCCTAATACCGTTTTGTTAATTGTTTTGTCGATGATTCGGACGGTAACAGTGTACCCATTTTTTTTAACAATTTATTTACATCCAAATGCGTCTAAAATTTTACGGATTCATTTGTTTCAGCGGTAGGGTCACGTTATTTTTAAAATGGGAAAAAAAGACACTTGACGATAGCACGAGTATCATCAAAAATTGGAGCTCCAAACCCCGAGAAAAAACCAAATTGTGAATAATAAAGGGATGTTCGAAATTTCGCAACGTCTCATTGAAGGTGGGCTATTTTTACTTTAATGGAATAAAATTCCACAAAATAATATTTCAAAACCTCTCGAAATCTGATGATCCGAATAAAAAAAAACTCATGTTTGCAGAAGCGGGTAAGACAACCAAGTCCCCATACCTCCGCATCCTCGAATAATGTTTTTTGTCTTGAAAGATTATAAACCTTGACTACCTATACAGATCCCCAAGTCTGACTTAAAGCCAATCGATTTCCCGATTCTACAACATGAATCGTCTAACTTTGTGATTAGCCAATTTTCAATAAGAGAGAAAAAAAGGCATATATACTGACTCTCAAGAGGGCACCAACGAGAGGGGAACAAGGTAATGTAAGGGCCTCAAATCGCGGCAGTCGAGCGCTATCAAGAGGGTCGGGCGTTACCCAGATGGACACGCGACTTTGCCTTATAAATTTGATATTTTTAATAAAAGTCTTCAAGGAAATAAGTATTGATCATATTCTCGCGACACCGACCTCCTCACCAATCTCTTTCCCACGTAACAAAAGTATTAGCCGTAACGTTGCTTTAGCTCGTTTAAAATAAATGGTTTCTCCGTCATTTTGTTTTACACGTAATTTCATCCACACCCTTCAGTAAAATTCACTGTACCTTTATGCACTTGATTTATCTGAACCAATTCAAGTCTCCCTCGAGCAACTGGTCAATTATTCTTCAAGCTAATGTTGATCTTGTCGTATATCGAGAGGAGATTTTTTAATGCTCAGCATGGCGATCTCCCAAACCCCGAAAAGCAAATTGTCCCGGCCACCCCAAACACTTTTTATCCTTTCCAATGAAAAATACTTGATGTTTGCAGCAGAGCACACGTGTAAACTGGAGAAATATCGACGAATCGATCAACGCGATGAAAATCCAGGGTACGGAGAGGAGAAACGAATATAAAAGTAAGGCACAAGTATGTGTATACACCCATATCCCTTTTATGCGCCGTGTTATATAGGTCGTACAGGTTGGAGGGGCACGACGGAGAGAGGGAGAGGTCCTTTTCGGAGGAAGCTGCGGAGGTGACAATGCGCTGTTGGTTGTCAGCGGCGTCGAGCGACAATAAAATCTCTCGACCGACGTGAAACACGCTCCTATAGCACACGTGGCATAAACCTCGCGATACGATTGACCCATACGCGCACGTAAAATGACGCTACATCGACACCCCCCCCCTCCCTTTTTTTCCCAACAAAAGAGCTCCCCATCGGCGTATAGAGATTCATCTCTTTCAATCGGGAAACACCATCGCCGCCCCTTGGACCGAAATCGCGGCTTGAAAAGTGCCCTGCGAGAGGTAGTTTATCACGCACCACCAGAGGCGGCCGAGAAAATTATTTTCTATGGAGACCTGATTTTTTCTGTAAGCACATTCTCATTCAGGGCTCCTTTGGTCGTCGCGGGGCGACGGTCTCTGCGGGATAAATATCTTATGTCGGGGGGGGGGGTGGCAAGTGGAAGTCAAAGGCTCGGTATAGTACGAGACGGGGGGGGGGGAAAGGAGTGATGCGAGGGCTTTTTGGAGAAAGGGCGTGTTTGACGTTCCCATCGGGGACTCTTTAGTGCCCTGATGCCGTTGACGGGGCTTTTGAGCACATGTTGCAGCTCTTTGGCATTATTTTTTACGTATACAATAAGATGGAAATTTGTCATTGCATCATTGTGCAGTAACTTAATAATAAGCCGCACGCGATCAAATGAAGGATCGTTTCAAAAACTCGTGTGCTGTGCTATGGTGTAATTTTGAAGAAAAAATTATTTTTGCTCCTATTGGTCGTATAACAATTTTTATTATGGATTAGCAGAAATATTCTTGCGACATGATGTCATTCGAAGCATCACTTAGTTTTGGAAAATCAATGAACCATCAGGGTACGTACGAAATTGTTGCTTATTACAGAAAAATTGCAATTTTTGTCAATAAATATTAAATATGTATGATTACCCAAAAATGTAAAATCAAGGGCAGTAATGTATTGTCGCTCAAAATATTTTTACAACAAATTTAAACCATCGAAATTTTGTAGTTGCAAAGTCCGTTGTTTAGTACCTTTCCATTTTGTTGGATTTTACGAATCTCATTACAATGGCAATAGTTTTTTAGTCACAGCAAAAATTCCGATTTCTTAGTTTTTCGTGCAATTCGCTACTTTACTACAGTGGTCAAAATTTTTTTATTTTTAAATTGCAGATAATTAAGCAAGCTATAATTTTTACATGTAACATATTTAACGAACTGACAATGAAAATTAGATTTTCGCGACTAATTTGTTAACGACAGATGACTCAACCATGTAGGTGTTTTGTTTTTTACTATTATACATGTTGTAAGACACTATTTTAAAGCGATTAAAAAAAAAGGAGAAACCAGAAGTTGGGGGATCGGGGGTGTGAATTTCGACAATTCCACTAGTCTAATGTTAATGTAGTAAGTTTGTTGTTGGCGAGTTCAGAAAACGTGAAAATTATTATTAGTCGTAGAATACCTAAATGATACATCAACTACGTGCTGCACTTTATTGTATTGAAGGCTAATTGGATGAAAGAAAAAGTACCTTTTGTGAGCAAACATTTATCTAAAAACTGTACGTGTTTGAAGAAGAAACAAAGGAAAAGAAAAAACACAATCACAAACAAAACACCGAGAAGATATGTGCACCTAATAATGCTCGAAAAGAGAAATAACGGAGGAGGAAGAAAAAAAGAAAAAAAAAGAAATAAAAACACTCCGGACGAGCTGTGCAGCGGACAATAACGGCTCAGCCGAGCGTGTAATATTATCTTTCGATTCCAGTGTATTAGCGCTCCATACACACACACACACACACATGGTCAAGCCGTTAAAGGAAGCAGTGATATAAAAGCGCCGACTAATCGCCGCGACGAAACGACAAAATTAATTTCACGACAATAGCAAAATAAGCTCCGACGACAAAGAGAATCGTCCCCCCTCCCCCCTGTTGACTGCACGGTCAAATCAGTAATTAAAAGCGAATACGAAAATATATATAGGCACAGGAACGCGATGTATATCCGAAAGCGGCTTCCGTATTGTGCGTCTCCCCGCGAGCTCTAAAGAAGCCACTATAATCCTCTCTCTCTCTCGCTCTCTACTCCGACGATTCGGGCTCCACGTGCGTTTGATATTATATATGTACACATCGAATGGGAAACTGCAACGAATGCCTTCCAATAACGGACCGCCAAATGGAAGAAGGTATAAGCGCAAAACAATTACTTTCCCCCGCACGTATGACGCGGTTTAATTTGATTTTTCGCTGCCAACCGGATGCGGCACATTAACCGGCCTGTAAACAGTGTGGCACTGCCGAATATCGTTGGCTCGGGTCCAGCCGTGCTTGAAACACTCGAGCGAGTTGCCTTGAAAATCGGCGATGGAGAGACCGTTACTAAAAAGTTACCCCTCGGCCAACACACTCTCGTGCACAGCAATTACATCGAAGTCTTGAAATACAAGGTTCTTACGGTCGAGCCGGAGATACCCCTCTGTTTTATACCTCTTCCACAGCCACCGTGGTAAAGTAGGTACACGATAGTCAATAAAGTCATCCGTGTCGTTAGCTCCTCGAGGGAAACTTCTTTGGAATGAGTAAAGGAGGGAAAAAAAGTAGGAGCAGTCTGCGCTATGCAGGCGCGGCCCACTGAGGTTATTAATAACAGTACTTACGACGAAAAAAAAAAAAAAAAAAAAGGAGCCACGTGACGACGGGAGGAGGAAAAGTTCCTATATAGGTGCACGGCCACCGCGCTTTTGTACATAATTAACGAGTGCCATAGGAGCGATGTACCATAGGTCGTACATGTATAGAGAGAACTGCCCCGCAGGCGCGAGGCTTCCCTGGATCCCCACCCCAAATATATACCGTACAGCTGCAGTGCTCTGTACACGTGGGGGTGGTTCGCTTCCACTGCAGAGGAGAGTTTCCGAGAGGAGGAGGAGAGCAATGGTGCTTCATCTTTTTTTTTTTTTTTTTTTTTCCCTCATCGTTATATATTTAAGGCTTTTTGGCTACGCTCACCCACAGACTTCGTAGGTTTAAGAGCTGATATTTGAGACTATGAGCGTTACGTGGTTCTGCGGTTTGAAAAAAAAAAATACGCCAATAGTTTCGTGAAGTTACCTTAATCGTGTCTGCTAAAGTGATCTGTTTTATTTCATGGGGGGCTCACAATGCACCCACGTCTCATCAGAGCATGTTGGCTTTGAATTTTTCCCGCGCGAGCTTCGCACTTGCGCAGCAGGTCCGCGTGTGAGTTTAAAGTTTGCTTTTGTTTTGATTCTGCAACCTTGCAGACCAGCGGCGCAACAATTGGGCCCCGTTAAGTATATGGCATCCCTTTAAATTTGCGTATACCTATACGTGTTTGTAAGCCAGTGGTCGCGAGAGTTGATCAAGACAAAAAAAAAAAAAACAGTGAGTGCAGTCGAGCAAAGTAAGTATAGCGATTTTCGTGATTCAACGTGTCGTCTTGGAAAAGTTAGGTTATGCTCCGAATCACTCTGCTGCGATTAGTAGGAGGAGGAGGAAGTGGTGGTGGAGGCAGGATCCGCCAGCCATCATCGGCCAAACTCTCGGCTAACAGATGATAAGAAAGTAAAAAAAGAAGTAGGTACAGAAGAGACGAAACGAAACACGCTTGCTGTTTTTACTGGTACCTAACTGTAAGCTGTACGTTTGAAAATATAAGTATTTAGGTCCACGTCACGACAGCCGCGTAGACAGTGACTATTAGAGTCAGAGCTGCAAAGTGGGTCGGAAAAAAAAAAATTTTTGGTCGCGCAGAGAAAGTAGTGCGGCGCCTAGCGGGGCTACGGAATGTCGTTCGTGCTGGGCCTGCTCCTGGCGGTGAGCTTGATGCTCGTCAGCCCGGCGCTGTCCAACCAGCCCTGGTATGAGACGATGCCGGCCGTCGTGATGGATTACAAGGTGCACATCGACCCGGGCAAGGAAGACTGCTACTTCCAGTACGTCCAGCCTGGCGCTACCTTCTACGTCAGCTTTCAGGTGAGAGAAACTCCTCGCTCTTGTACTTGACACCTTTCAATCTGTGCACGTATTTCTTTTATTTCTATATTCTTCTCAATGACGGTCTAATGAGATTTCGAGACGTTCCCGAGTATACTTGGCTTACTTGCTTTTTCTTCGGGGGCTTCTTTGCCACACCTGCTTCTTTGTCCTCGTTCCCCTTTTTTTATTTACCTATGCTTATTCAGCAATGCCAAACGTTATTGTATTCTCACAAGAGTTCTCCTTCCATTTGGAACAAGTTTTTCCTCAAGCTCACAAACAGCAAGAAAAAAACCTCTCAGAAGGGCAAATAGCACCATCCATATGGTGGAAAATGATGTACAACATATATTGCGGTACCTTATAAATACTGTATGTGTATATAGGCACAATATGTAATACACATTTAGTATACATGTAGCGTAGGCTGCGTGAAAGTTTATGTATATCACCGGTCTGTGGTGTCGCAATCTGGCAATGAAGATTCGGAGCGCACACCAAAGAGATATGTTCTTTTCTTTTATTTTTGCGATCTCTCGATTTTTGGAGATTTATAGCGAGCACGGGTTGAATTTGGCCACCTCCTCTGTTCATCGAATGAAAATTTAATTTTTCGCTGATTTATCGCACAGCTATGGCTTTGAATATTCATCGCGTGTGGTGGTGCATTACCTATTTTACTTAAAACAATGAATGTTGGCTTGAAGCTTTTTTTCTCTTTTTTTTTGGCAATAGGTCAGTTGAGCTACATAGTGGAGCATAATAAGTGCACTTTAAGATAAGGTAAAGATGATGAAGGAACCAGGAAACTGTACAAATGAATCTTTTTTTTCTCAGGTATTAAAAGGTGGCGATGGAAAAGCTGGTTTTGCAGTGAGAAACCCCGCTGGTGAATTGGTGCATCCATATCAGTGGCAAACCAGCTCTGATTACCAAGATCAATCCCAAAACGGTGGGTACTATGGTATTTGCGTTGACAACCAGTTTTCAAGATTTTCCGGGAAACGCGTCAACTTGTACATTACCGTTATCAAGTGAGTGTCGTTGCTTTATTGTTGAAACCCGTTATTATGCAATTTTATTTTACCGTGTGGCTTGATTTGCAGGTATGACCAGTGGGAACAGTATGCAAAAGAAATTAATGACATGGAACTATCAGTTGTGAATGTCACAGTACGTTTTTACTTTTATTGTAAAAAATCATGTTTTTTTCGAGTCTAAGCGAGTACATCAATTTTTTTGTTTTAGAATATACTTGGTAGTGTGGAGAAGAATATCCACGAAGTACTTCAGATTCAGCACTTTGGTAGAAGCAAAGAGGATCGTGATTACAATTTACTGCTTGACAATAACTCGTACGTACAAAGGTGGTCTCTTCTTCAGATAGTGGTTATTCTTGCGACAACGGTGCTGCAAGTTTTCTTTGTAAGAAGATTGTTTGAGGTGAAGTCGTCCGGTTACGCGAAAATGCGAATTTAAACGTTACATGTTTTTCGCAACTCTAAAGCGAATTTTACAAAAAGAAAAAGTTTGTGATAAACGTACACCACGGCGCCTTTTGTTAAACGCCGTGACTCCTATAAGACTTTTTATACTATACTTGAGTGAGATTGACTTTTATAGCACCGTCTTATCGGTGTGTATTTCTTAATATTTTTATACAGTTTTTTCTTAACGTTTGTAAACTCACTTTACGAAATGCATTTATACACTCTGTACACTTTTTATTTCTTTTCAAATGAGAAAGTCTTACTCTAGTTGTCTTTTCTAAGTAATTGATGGATGGTGATCTATATCTATATGAGTGTGGTTTTTATAAAGTTGCATATAATGTTTACTGTTTGTACAAAAAAGTGACCATAATTATATTTATAGAGAGGAAAAGGAAAGGAAATAATTGAAAAAAAAAACTAAAACAACAGAGATTTTATTGACTGTAAATGTATTTATATTGAAAAATTACAAATAAATTTTCATGTACATTTGTTACAAAAAGCTTACATGCGTACGTATATAAATGTATGTATAAGTGTACAATATTTACAAAACACTCGTATCGTTTAAAATCACACGAGCAAAGTCTTAAAAAAAACAAAAAAAAAAAAAAAAAACATTAACGATAATTATGACGAGTAGGCTCATATGTATAAACATACAAAAGTTACTGGCCCTGTAAGTACAATACTTTCTTTGTTCTCAGAGAGTTTCCATGAACGCTTTCAAACACGTATATTCCTCATCCTCGCGTGCTTCGAAGGTATCTCCTTCGTAAAGTTACCGGGGAACCAGCCCTGCTGTCCGTCCAGCAATTTTTCCCCAAACAGCCACCCGTCTTCCATTTTTCTGAGCACTTTGATCGCATCGCCTAAAAGCACCAAAAAAAAAGTCACTATATCCGCAAATTCTTGGCCTTGTACATACATGGTCAATGATTTATCGTACCTGGTTGGAGTGCCAGCTCGTCGGGTTGTCTGGGAAAGTACGAGTGCTCGGCAACGACCCGCGTAAATTTAATGGGCGCGTAAAGGGCTTCAGCCTCGGCAACGGTTTTGGGCGGGGAAACAGCGTCGAGCCAGCGCTCCCTCTCCGTGTTGTTGGCGCACGCCAGGACGTACTCGACTCTTTGACCAGCGTGGTTGTCCAGCAGCGTCAGCAATAACGCGTGTTTACCCGCAAACGGTGAATTGTCCGGGACGCTCTCCAGCACCACCTGATCGCGCTTGCACGTGTCCACGACGCTGTACGTATCCTCGTTCGAGCTGATGTTTGACAATTTATCAATTAGTTGTAAGTATATCAGAGTTCACGCGTCATCGCCGCTTACTTTGGCTTGAGTTTCGTGACTAGAAGGTAATCCGTGAGCAAGACCAAGTGGAGCGGTGTCTTGTGAGCCTTCCTGCCGAAAGTGAGTTTGCTCTCCTTGTCGTGTTTCGACAGCAGTTGCACGACCATACCGCTGCGGATGAGCTCCCTGTCGGTCAGATCCACGGGCTGCACTTTGGCCGGGTACTCGAGTTTTCTGAAAAATACCAAGTTCCCCGTTGCACTGAAACACGTTTCTCCAATGCAAGAAGGAGAACAAAAAAATGGGTCCACACCTCACGAGAGCGTCCATCTCGTTGCGGCGCTCGACCCGCCTGGCCCCCTCGTTGCACTTGACGACAATGTTCTGAAAGGCCTTGAGCGCAGCCTCCCAGCTGGACCGCTCGATGTGGTCGGGCGGTAAACTCGCGAGCACGGCTTCGGCCAGCAGAGGCAGCCTTTAGTTTGACACGGGAAAATGTAATAATTCGTTGAGTTTGAAACGGGAAAAAAATCATGCCTATAAAGTTACCCTAGTTTTGTGTACTCGTGACTCGTATTCTGAGTGAAAAAAAAAAATACACAAAACAATCGCCTGCAATATACGGATGAAGTGTTTTCTTTTTTGTTAACCGATCGCTCGGAAGCGTCGACAGTGAGAGCCTCACCTGGTGATCCTCTGCATGGGCAGCAGCAAAAACGAGTCGAGCCTCTGGCCGTAGCATACGGGCCGCGCCTGTATCCTCGCGAGAGCCTCGAGGCAAGGCTTGCGCGTCTGGAGCTCCTTGAGCCGGGCGTCGAAGTTGACCTGGTTCGAGCAGTAGTCCACGTAAACCCCGGCGCAGCGCTCGGCGTGGCCGACCACCAGCTCGCACAGCCGGCCGAGCATGACGTCCCGGTCCCACGCGAACTCCATCTCGGCGAGAAAGTGCTCCGAGGCGACGAGCACCCCCGGGACGTTGTCGAACAGGCAGCTCTCCTCCTCCGGCCCGAGGAATTGCCGCAAATCACGGTCCTCGGCGAACTCCTTCTGCAGGACCCGCAACGATATCAAATACGACGCCTCCGACGTCAGGATCTCGAACTTGGCCTCCTGGAGCTTGAGCTCTGCCTTCGACAGCCTATTGCCTGTGGAAATTCCGTGTAGATATGTGTTAAGTACCTACAATGCAACGATCGGTCGCAAGCACGAGGCGACTTACGCAGCAGGGCGCTGTTTTTGACGCGCGGCGTCTCCTGCCAGAGAGTCCGGTGGCCGGGTTTGGCCAGATCCGTGGTCGCCGAGGTCGGCGCCAGCTCCTCCACCTGTCGAACGAGACATATCACGTCATTGTCGAGCTCACGTGTGGAGGGAAAGAAAAGGAAAAAAATCCTCACCGTCTCGTAGCCGTCGTAATCCGAGGATGCAACTTCGTAGGGCTCGGGCACGGCTTTGAGGGTGGACTCGATGTAGAACTGGTAGAGCGGCTCCTCGGCGAGGACGCTGTAGTGGTCTACCAAACAAAAGTCAACTGATTTTATATACATATAGAGAGAAAGAGAGAGAGAGAGTAATTATAAGCTTATTTATTATTATTATTATTATTCCACGAGTTATTTAGAGGGGTGGGGCATAAATCAGTTAACGATCAATGATGGGAAGAGGAAGCAAATATACCTTCGAGAGAAGGAGGACGGCTTATAGGGCAGCTTAATTGGTGCCGGGAAAGCTGGAACAAGAGCACTCGGCAGTTTCCTTTTGCGTGCAGGTACACAGGCTCAGCGCACTCTCGGAGCCTCGATAAAGACTCCGCCAAGTCCTTCCTTTTAACGACCTTTGCCGTCATTTTTAATGACCCCGAGAGCGCGCTGACTATACGTACATTGGTTCTTCCCTTTTTTTTTTTTTTTTTTTTTGGCTCGCGATCAGTGTATGATCAGAGTCCACGGCCCACCACGTGGAGCAAATCCTAGTTTCGAGTGGTTATTATAGGGACTGCTCGTTAATTGCCAAGATTATACCGGTAAAAGCGCCCGTCGGCGAGAAATAATGAACCCCATATAATTATATACACGTGATTTGTACGTTGTGCGATGTGTGTGTAATTACCCACGGCAACTTGGTCGTCGACGGCGTCGTCCCGTGGCGGCGGTGATTGAGGCTGGGCTTCGTCGGGGAGCCCGGCCTCCCTGTACGGGTCGTTCGAGTAGTAGACGGGCTCCTCCTCGGCAGACGGCCGCTCGTCGCCGAGGACGTCGGGCGCCGATGCCGATTTGTCGAGGTAGAAGGTCGACGAGCTCGTCAGGGCTTGGCTCTTTTTAAACGGCTTCTTGAAGCTAAAGTACTTCCTCAGCTCCACGTTGTTGTTGTTGATGTGGTTGTGGTTGTTATTCAGACTGATGGATTGTAGCTCGTTGACACCGGACTGCTGTTTTTAAGACACGGACACACGTGTTTACAGGTGTTTCGTTTTCGTGTTTGGGAGTATGTACAAGGCTTGAAAACCAACGCATCAGATAGAAAGGTAAACTCCACAGCTCGTCGCGCATAGCATATTGTTTACGTAACAAGGGCGGAAAAGACTCGTTCCTGATCAACTCTGGTCACTCGTGCGGGAAATCGTCCCGCACGAGTTGCGTACGAGATTTTTCGCGACAAGTGTGGGAAAAATAGGTATAAAATATATAAGCATGAATTTTGAAAACCAGTGTGTGTAGCAAAAACTTTTCTGGTGGGCGGTGAAACATTTGCCGCACACAATGCGGAAAAATCAATTTCCCACTTTAAGAACAGTACGGAAAACGCCCACTTTCCACACACTATGGTTAAAACATAGTATAGATTACGCACATACTGAGCGAAGTTAAGAATGTCTTGGATTTCACGTGAATGAACTTAAATAAATCTAATGCATTTTTTAACCTCGCTCACTAGGTGCGTAATGTAATATTATTCACCAATCGTGCGCCAAGAGAAGGAATGTTCGTGCCGGCGTGGTATGGTGAAAAAAAATTTATTCACCCTGCGTGACAGCCAATGTGATTTGATTGAGTTATTTGGTGCTGAATCGTACCCCCTTTTACAACAAAAATAATCCTCTTGTTTTTTTCTTTGTTTTTTTCTTTTCTCTCAGATGACGATACGACATGTACAATAAAACAATACACCACCTGTTTTTTTTGTCAAAATAATTAGTTTCGACATCGCCGTGCGCGAAAATAATGCACATACATATTTATTTAAAAACGTACAAAGGTGTCCCTGAGGGGAAAAAAAATAGATAAAATCACAAGGCCGATATTCTAAAGGCAGGAGTCCTCTTTAACTTTCTTCCTTTTTCCTCATTGCTCCTTAAGCGATAGTCAAGATAAGCGTCAATTACTGTTTTGTCCGACAACTCGTGCAGTGGCTGGTGGTTCGACGCGGCGACCTGGTCGCGCTTTCGCATGCGACCGAGGCTCTTTGTTATGCTCCAAGTGCGCCTGAGCATTTTGATGGGCCGGCCAAGGGTGTTGCCGAGACTCGGCTCGTGGACCGGCGGGGGTGGCACCTCGCGGTTGGGCGCCTCCAGGTGGCCAGTACCGTTTTGGTCGTACTGATGGGCGATCGGTACCGAGGACCGGCTCGGGAACTCGGATTCCGAGTCGGTGCTAAAATTGTCCGGCTCGAAGGTCTCCACCAGCACCTCCTCGTAGTTGCTGTCGTCCGACGAGTCTGTAAGATTAAACATACATTTTTTCAAATCTACATTACATAATTAATATATATATATTGGTTGGAAAGTCGAGGGAATCGTGGACCGATCGCCGCGGGTCATCTTCGTTAATTACCGTCGTCGTCGAAAGCGACAATATTTTTAATTTTACCCGCGGCAATGTGTACACACATACGGTATAACAGGTGTGCACGGCCATTAGACTTGATGAGAAGTGCGCGTTTCGTTCTTATGTACGTATTATGTACGCGAAAAACAATAAATCTGTCAACGAGTAGATTCAAATGTTATTAATTGGAGGGGCTTGCTTTGCGGAAACATTAAGAGAGAGTGGGAGGGGAAGCTCGCATGCGACAAGTATAGGTACATACAATGGAACAATCCGTCTTTGTTTTTTTCTTTTCTTTTAATGTCAATGCGAAATCTCGAGATCATCTCGGATCCACAAATCGGGGAGGAGCGTGAAATTTATCGATAAAGGACGAATTTCCGGGCTTATTGGGTTATTAGCTTTGTTTTTTCTTTTTCTTTTTGAAACTCGTAACAAAATTTTTTAACTTTTCCCCGCAAAGTAATAATGCCTATATACTTCTCAAATCGCTCTGCCAACCCCACTCCATAAATTTGGAATAGTGATAAGTATGCAACTTTTTCAAAATACTGCTTATACACTGTAAGATAGTGAATATGCACTGTTTAAACAATGAAATAGTCGATTTCGCTCTTTCAAAGTTGTATATTTACAACTTACTTGAATTAATGAATATTTACTACGAAATAGTGGATTTTACTGCGTAACTGTGATTATTCGCTATTTCTACCAAGTTGACGTTTCACTATTTAAATTAGTTGGTTAACTTATTCCTGATATACCACTCGAAATAATGTGTGTGGGATGTACAATTTCCGTCATTCGAGTGGAGATCGTTAGCTGGATTACCGATAAATATTTAGAGTTAAAATTTATATCAACGGGGCATAAACAAACGATCCTAATTTATCACTATACCACCAGTGAAAATGTTAACTTACGCAAATAGTGAAATTTTCGCCATTTAAAATTTAGAAAGCATGGACAGCCCAATAAATGAACAAAAACCCTAAAGTGAAACCTGCACAATGATTGCTTGTACCTCAACATGTTCAACAGATAAAATAAAATAGAAAAATAACCGAGGAATGAGCACCTTCGACGTAGAGCGACGTCTCCTGCACGTCGACCTCCTCATCGAGGAGTACGACGCGCAGTTGCACGAGTCCCCTGGTCTCCCCATGGTCGTCCCCCAGCTGCTGTTGCTGCTGGCTCTTGGCGGCCTCGTCGATCGACCCGAGGAGCAGAACCGAGCCCGCGCCCAGGCTCACTGACACTTTTCACACGCATCATCATCATATTATTATAACGCTTTTTTTTTTTTTTTTTTTTTTTTCATCACTCCCGCGCACCCACGCGCGTCAAGGTCGCACGGGCTCTTGCCGAATCGGGGAGAGAGCGCCGAAACCGAGGTGAACGCGAAAGGAGGAGCGAGCGAACCGGTTGTCGTTGTTGGCCAACATCGCGGCCACACCGCCGCTCTGCCCGAATGTACGTGCACACTCGACGGGATTTTTTTTTTCTTTTCTTTCTTTATTATGTGTACCTATATACGTGTTGTCTTCTCCGTGTGGACCAACCAATTCTTTATTCGCGCCCGAGCGAGAGTTTTGTCCGCCAGCCGCTGGTGTTTGTGTATTAATAATGTACGTTATACATATCGGCAAGACATATACCGATGGGGAGTTATTGTGACTCGTCCGATGGGAGAAACTTTTCTTTTTCTCTCCGATGCCGCGTTCAACGCGCGGAGTGGCCCCGTCGTTAATTATATATATGCATACTACTAGTATAATCCAAAGTAAAACAACAAATAAAGAATTTAAAGCTCGGTTTTTTTGTTCCCCCTTGTACGATTTTCAACTCATTTTCCAAGACGCGAGTATTGTTAATTGCAAGGCGTTTTCCACCCGAAGAAAAGAACAAAACTACGGTATACCTACACAGAATTGAGCGAACAATGGCAAAACAAATATATATATATGTATGCGAGCACCGATTACCTAACAGCCCCATCATCTGTCTGGTGTGTACTACGTATAGTGTACAACGTTGTACGTGTACGTAACAGTACCGACAAGGTGAAAGAAAAAAAAAAAAAGAGAAGAAGAAAACTATACGTTTGTATGTTGTGTGTACACTCGGTAATAGCCACAATACACGTTACACCGATCTAGCGATCTGATGCCAATGCTTGTAGGGCGCAGCAACAATTAAATCGGCGTGAGTGTCTCGATCCCTTGGCTCTACACGGCAAAGGGTATAAAGAACGAAGTGACATCGACAACAACAACTGGTTCACAGCATCCGATATCTACACGTATACGTTTATCACGTATATGTATTTCAGCGCTCTCCCACGCAATAAACACTCCGCACTTGTATCCTCAATTGTAATATCATCGTGAAAGCCGATCGAAAATATATGATCGGTACACCGGTGACCACTGATCACCACAATATGGATATAAAATACACCAGCCAACGGCAATCAAACCTTGGGTGTTGGGTCGCCGCGAGGGCGTCTTCAAGTTCTGCCTCATTCCCGACTCATGGCTACCGTAGCCGCTGCTCCCGGAGCGTGGTTGACCGCTCGATCGGTTTTCACCCTCGGAATCGGCGCGGATACGTACACATATGTATATATAGTCAGCCGAGTATATTCGAACGAGATAAGAGAGAGAGAGAGAGAGAGGAAAAAAGGAAGAAAAAAAAGTATCCACGGTGCGCGGCTGAGGTGCGCGCGTTGTCGCGTCTCGGCCGTGACTGAGGACGCGGTGCACCACGTCGCGCCGCGCGCTTTCACCTCGCCATGTATACACATACATCCTATACCTATGTATTGGTACGTATAAAATACAAAATGTATATACCACAGTTAAAAACTGACGCGTAGTATACGTATATCGTGTGCGTGTTTTATACGCGATAATTCTCTCTCGGCCACACACTCGTGCTCGCTCATGGAAGATATCACTCTGTATTGTTTTTTTCCAATTTATATTTTAATTGGAACGCGGGATCCTTGAATAATAATTATGTACTCATACGGGTATTATTAAAGATGGCAGTTGTTTTATCGGCTCCGAGATGAGATTTTTCTATTACATGGATGTACATGTATATATGTATAAATATATACCGTGCACGAGTGGTGCGCGTATATACGGGTGAGCCGCTTGAAAAATCGGAGCGGAACAAAAGTTATGACCGTATCGCGAAAGTGTGCGCAATATAATGTTATGCATTTCGTGTGTATATGTATATGTATGTTACCACGAAAATATATACGTTTCATCGAAGCGCGAATCGCAGGAGTAGCTTGTGTCTTTATCAGGCGTGAAAATCGATGGGGAGAGCAGATCGGTAGCGAAAGCCATTTAATCGCGAGAAACCGTACGCCTTTCGGTGGTGTCGGTTGACGACGCGAGCTATACATGCCAATGTATACGCGTATATATGTATGGCAGCGTGATGTATTCTCCTCCTCCATCCTCATTTTTTTTTCCTCTTGGCAATTGCCGTGCTGCTTTGTTGTACACGTATGGGTAATGTATATGTGCAGATCGCAAGGCCGTCTCATTGTTTCGTCTCTGCGCTTCGCCGTTAATATTATTATTATACCTTGTGTTCTTGGGCGTGCGAAACTCCCGAAATCGGCAAAGTTGTTTTTTTGTTTTTTACTTTTATTTTCTTACGCAGCTCAAATAGACGTGTTTTACGTTGAAGCGATTCGATGTTGATTGGCTGTGCGTTGCGTAACAACGTATACGTATGTGCGAAATCGGTATGTCGAGAGCGTGTGGTATGTTAAAACTCAGAAGTCGAATAATTAAATTTTAATTTTTGTTATGAGCACGGAGATATTTTATTCAATATAATTGACCCGAAAGATTCGATCCTGTAAGGAGCAAGGGAGCTCATTAAGACGGGCTTTTCCACGGATCGTGTACGGAAAATACACGAATAATAACGGTATGATAAGCAACTCGGGTGGAAACTCCGGGATCGGTTCGATGCTCTCGATTTTTAAATTTCGACGCTCGCATACTGGTAGAAACCTGTTTTCGATTTCGTAATAATATCGTGTTGTCGTATCGTTGTAAGGAGCCCGTACAACGCAACAGTTTAGCTATTGCCGATCTCCCAACTATATAATAATCCGATGTAGGACATCAAATTGAGAAAATTATTATTCAAACATAAATAAAAGTATAAAAGTTTTCAAATAACCGTTTCGAGCTCACGGGAATTCGGTAAAAGGGTATAGGCGCACACTTGAATAACCGATTTTTCAGAAACACCGTGTACGTCGCGGTGAGAGAAAGTCACGGCACATCATCATAGTGAGACGAAAGTGACTCGGTGTTGTATGGGAAAAAAAAAACACGAAAGACGAGATATTCAGGAATCCGTATTACCGATTTTCTCCTTTTATTTGGCGCGTGGAAAAAGTACGCATACCCTTGCTTGCTCGAAAGTTCCACAAACACCCGCCGCGTATCTTTTTTTTTTTTGTTTTTTTCTCGATTGGATCGTTGTGCTCTTCCAAGTGCACTGCAACGAGGCGTTTTTATTTATTTTTGTTCCACCCCGAAAATCCAAATACTCCGCACCGTTGGCGACCGCAGCAGTTCCGTGTTCACGCGTTACATGACTCGCTCGCCGTTTCAACCGACGCGCTCTCGGTATTCCGTTAGCGCGCGATCCTCCAAGGAGAAACGAAAAAATCACCGCAGAAAATTAACATCTTCCCCGCGTAACGCGGCCATGAATAACTTCCAAGTTTTCCAATGCCCGCGGGCGCTCTTTCTCTGTCTTCTTCGTTTAGCCCGAGGAGGAAAAAAAAAAAAAAAAAAAAACACCTCCAGCCTGGATAGGTTGGCAAAACCATGTAACAGTCGATCCGTCGAGGCAGGATTGTACAGATCTGGAGAGCGCACCCACACGCATTACACAGCGCGGCCATTGGCATTCGCTCGGTCTGACTGCTTCTCTTCTTCTTCTCCTCGATCTCGGCTCAAAGTCAAGGCCGCGGATCTGCGCGTGTCTGCCCTGCGTGACACCGTATACTTATATACCTACGATCGTATAATTGCAACCTCACCCGCGTAAACTCCATCCGTATATATGTATATACGTATATTATATTGTTTTATCTATATGGAATAAAGCGGGAGAAAGAAAGTACGAGTGATTAACATGTAACGCGGGTGTACAATAATATTGCAAGGTAAAAATGTTAATCAAAAGCTTTTGTCTCCTCGGGCATGAATCAACTGCGCAACGTATATCGCGCGCGTCTGGCTTTTATTGTATATTATAACTCTTGCTGTGTATATATATATATATGAAGTGCACCAGTCAAGCGCGCCACTTATTTTCCTTTCTTCTCGATGTGTAACGCAATGCAAACATCTAATGTGTATGTGTACGGGTAACAACGAGCGGCTTCATTTCTGCAAAACTTTGCGTCTTGCATTTAAGGCACGACCAATTCACGGTTTTAACTGTAGGATTTTAGTTAGAGATCACATTTTTTTTACCAAATGTTAAATAAATAATACTACGTATTACAAATCAAATTGTCCGTAATTTCGAAACGCTTTTTTTTTGTATCTTGTATTAGAATGACACTGAAGACTTGAATGTCAAATACAAATAAGTCTATTTTAAGTAAGTAAATATAATACAAATACAAGTAAGATCTATAAGTTTTATATTAAATGTTTGGTCAGCGAATGACACGTGCAAAAGTTATACGCTGTACTTACAATGATTTCTTTCGTACGGTTTCTTTGTTTAGTGTGTAGATGTTGAAAAAAGTTATATACTTTAAAACAAGTTTTTTAGCCGTTTTGAATCGATTTTTACCATTTATAGTACTAAGACGACACGGTATGGAGAAAAACTAACTACACAAACAAGTTTGATTTTAATGAGCTCTACAACTTTGGTATTGAACACTTTGTTGTAGAATTCAAATTTTTTCTATTAATGTGAAAAAAAAACGTTTTTTTTTTTTTACTGTTTTCACATTTATTTTGCATTACATTAGAGTATCTGCAGGAGTAAAATCATGCGTAAAACAAAAAAGTTATATTTTATTGTGATCTGCAACTTTGTCTTGGAACACAAACGTGTAAAATGTATGTGTTAAAACTGTTTTTTTTTTTTTTTTTATTCTTAGAGTGATATTATAATAAAAATGGTAAAAAAATTATCCTCTCTAATGGAAACCATTCAAACGCAATAAATCAGCTTCTCCATTGAAGTTGCCAACAAAATTTGAGCCCATTCGGATAAGTTACTTGAGTTGGTCGAAAAACTTGATATAAACTTATAAAACACACTATACTTGGTTTGAAATTTGTTTTGTATGAAAAAAAGATGATATTTCTACTGGTTCCTCCGACAAAAATCTAACGAGGCACTCCAATACATTGGCCGTGCCTTAGAACGAAGATAAAAGCGCGCGCCTTATTTCTTGCCGTCTCGTGTCTCACTTTGCTCGAGAGTGAAGGACGAAAGACACAGGGGGACTGATTTTTCTTTGTCGTCCCCTGTCTCTCGTGGCTCAAAACCCCACCCCCCGACCCTCCAACCATCATGGGTTTTTCCTACGAGACACCGTAAAAGGTGCGTCCGTCAAAAAGGTCCTCGGTACAGAATATCGTCACTTACCGGAAACGGCTCCAGGGTTCCTCGGCCTCGCTCGGCCCTTGCCGCAAGCGCTCGACCTGGTGGAGCCCTTCCGCGACGCCCGGGACCGCTGGCGGCGCACCTTGCGCGACCTGCCCCGATTCGGGCCCAACTTTTTCCTCGCGCTCGGGCCCCCGTGGCTGCAGGCGACGCTCCTCATTTTCACCCTGTAAACACCAGGCAACGTCAAATGCTGTTTTTTTTTTTTTTTTATTGTCACTTCAAGCCCACCTACCCGGCGTCGTCGTACATGACCAGGTCCCCGAGGTCCTCCCACTCGGACTCCTTGTCGTAGCCCCCGGACTTTGCGACGCCCGAGCTCGCGTACAGGCTGTTGATCCTCTCGTGGCGCTCCGCGAAGGTCTTGGCCACTCGCGCCGGCGGCAGGTTCACGTCATCGTACGCTTCCTTGGGCTCTGGCGGTACCGATTTCGACTCCACCACCTCGTAGTCCGACTCCTCCGATGGCTTTATGCCCATTGTCCCTGGCTCGGCGAGTTCCTCGTAATTCGCGTAAGCCGATGGTCCTATGACGTCGTACACCGAGTCGTCCTCGTTCGTCGCCTCGGGAGCGAGGGGAGTCGCACGATCGGCTGGCACCGCGTCGTCGTACTCGCCGATTTCCGGTGTGGCTGGGTTTTCTTTTGCTTGGATCTCCGGCACCGTGCAGTACATCTGGTTACAGTCGAGGATCATCAATTCTACATGTATAAAGGGTATGGGGGGTTTCGTTTTTGTCCCTCATTTTTCAATAAAACAATTTTTTTTTTTTTCTCCAAGCACACGTTTTTTGCTCGCGACTTTGTGTACCGCGAGGAAAAATTAATGTAAAATGAGCTCGGTTTCAAGGGTTGCAAGGGGGCACTTCTATCACCTAGAATTTATAATAAACGCTTTACATTTGAAACACAAAATTCCTATTTGAAACACGAAAATTCAAATTTCAACGCTGCGCGCGGGGAATGTGCGTCTTGTAAACCCTCAAAGGACGACCGTTCCAATGACATACAGTTTTAAATAAACTTTACAACTTACCCTCGGAAAATGTAATTTATTTTATCTAAAATATAAATTAAAACACTAACATCTTTGCCGTCAGGAGGGCCAACGTTATCGTAGCAATCATCGTCCAAAAGGTCTTCCCTGCCTCTGGGACTACTCGCGGAGTTGTCCTTAACTTTGGCCATTTTACCCCAAAGAAAACTACTGTTGACACCAGTCGATTTTTTGGTCCTCCTCCTCCTTTTCGTCCCGAAGCGCAATCTCCGCGTACACGTTGTCCTCGACGTCTTCACTATTGTCCTTTCGCGTGATCGGATTGAGTTTAGTCTCGTTGAGAACCAAACCATTTTTCAACGACACCACGTGAACGAAATTACAGGGCTCCGAGATCGTCAGGTTCTTTATCGAGGAGTCGAGAGATTTGGACGATACGCTTTTGGACTTGAGTTTCTGAGCCTTGCGAACGTGCTTCTGATACTTTTTTTTCAATGTTAGTTTGGAATTTTTCACGCTATCGCCGCTGCTCTCGTTTTCGGGGGTCAACCGCAGGTTTGCTTTCGACGCCACTTCCGTTTTGGATTTTCGCTTTTCTGCATTTGCCGACGCCACGAGGGAACTCGTTTGGATGGACTCGCAGGATGTCGCGCTGCTCACCGAGTGTTGGTCACTTTTTGGCTTATCGCTGCTCACCGATTTGGGCTTTGGCAGTGCCGTCAGTTCCAACTGAAAGATTTGATTTGTTATTTATTCAAGTAAAAAAATTTTTTATATTAAACATGATTAATTTCAATGGCACCACTTTGTAGGTACCGTAGACGTTGGTTTCCACAAAAACTCGTATCTCCAATTGGTTTTGTTTGACGTAATGACATCAATCGGTATTTTATCGTCACGACAGTGGATTTTTTTTTTCTACCTCGGGCATTTTTGAGAGGCTGGTGTGCCCTCGATTGGAAAAATAGGATTGGCCACATAAGCGCCATCGCATCGCGGGTAACATATCTCGGGTCGCAAACTAGCCTCGTAGATAATGGCACTTATCCAACGAAAACTATGATGATGATGTTTTTTCAAAAAAAGCAGTCTTATCAATACATAAAAATGTACAAAAGTTCAAGGGAACACCCAAAAGCCGATTATAATATATACTTTAACGTATACTAAGTAAACAGATTACTTTAATAGACTTTTAATAGAATGCATCGAGACGACGAGCTATCGGTATACGATTTGGTAATTACATCGAACGCATACGTCACATTTTCTCATTCATATTCATATCTTTTTAATTTTCCTCGAGATAGTAATTGATATTCGTTACATCCACAATACTTGCCCGCTTCTGGAGTTGTAGATAACAAATATCTGTATGTTTTGATGATTTAAAGTGTACATGTATAAATATACAGGTATTTGAATAACAAAACGTAAACATCCTGGTTTAACGTATACACAAATTGGCGCAAAACTAAACGCTTTGGATCAGCATGAAAAACTGTACAGTGTGTAAGTGATGCTTCTCAAACATCCCTGTAACTATTATATTACTGCACGTATAATGAGAACCTGAGTTGGCTATGTAAAAAAGATTATCTCGGATATTAGCTAGCACACATATTTATTTGACATATTGTCTTTAGTAATATCTAATTCTGGTAATTAAGAAAAAAAAAAAAAAAAAGTGTTGCTATGAAGTTTACAAAATTACATAGGTATGTACAATACGAAATATTGTATTATGTTCGGCAATTTCGGCATCCATATACATCAGGTAATGATTATGAAAGACATACAATTACAACTAAATTAATGTATTTTAGATTGTACATGGTACTCGGTATCTCTTGATGGATTATATCTGGCTATTATAGATAAGCGTGTTTTAATCTTCACAAACCTTGGGGTAATTTGGACATAAAATAATGCAATAGTATGTAATCAATACATAGTAGTCTATTGATTCGTCGTAAGATTACAAAATATATATGGTATACAGAATACGTTATGGAAAAATAAAGTTGCAACATGTCCCGAAAATACAGGAAAGTCGAAAAATTACGAGGCCACGAAAATCACATGGTAAAAACAAATAGTAAAGCCGAATGTGTACAAGTCTGCATTCTCATTGTCCCATAAATATAGTCAAGTGAGAGGCAATTCGATGCAAAGTTATAATGTTGTTACGGCGTGCTGTTTGCGGATCTGTTTATACTTTTGCCGTATTCCATGCAACGCGTAAGAAATTATCTTGCGATTTGTTTTATTCGCTTGCAGAGGAGAAAAAAAAGATAGATAAACAAAAAACCTTTTACAAGAGTTGAAGCGAGTGGTAAATGGTGTATAATGGAGGCTGTAATTAGCTAGCCAACAGGTATTTCTCAAGGCAACCAATATACGTTAATCAATAAGTGCAGATACACTTTCATTGATAGATAAATCTACATGGATTTGTATGTTGTTGCTATTATATATTAAGATAGGTAGTTAGTACATGAGAAAATTTTCCTCTCATTCCCATCAGTCTACATACTCATACTTTCATTGGTTTGTGGAATGCTTTTTATTTGTTGGTGACATATAAGTAGTAGGGCTCGTCTCCTTCATTTCTAAACATATGACATCGGATGAACAAAAAGTTTACGTAAGCAGCAGGGCAGGATATTTTTGCCATTAAGAATTAATAGAGGATTTTACTCGGAACTTTATTGGTTTTACTTTATTTTTCTTTATCGATGCCGAACACGATTTAATGTAAATATCAATACAAATCTTTTTTGCAATGCTGTGCGGAAAATAGGTGTTTACCGCACTATTTTTAGTTTTAGTATCTCGTGCTACGCACTTGTATGCTCAACTAGGTAGCACTCGTTCCCGCCAACCCCAGCCACTCGTACGAGTCAATCACGACTCATGCGGGAAATCGTCTTTTCCGCACTTGTTACGTAAATAACTATTTTGTCTCCCGGGCGCAGTGCTTTGCACCCTCGATACAAAAAACGTCGTTTTCACCTCGGGAACAAACATACAACAACTGCGCTCTTCGGGCGCACAAGTTTTACCTTCTGCCGTAGATAAGAAATATACCATTTCCTACTTTGGGCATTTTCTTCATTATTTGGACGTTTAGTGTGCCCTCGGTGGGAAAAATAGGGTTCGCACCTGGTGCACATCCAACCAGGGCAATCACAAGGAGTCCCTCGGGCCTGGTGCTTGCTCTGGCGATATGCACCACCAGGTACGGAAATTACCATTAGTAAACTCATTTTGGGGCCTCATCACGAACTCCTATATATATTAAGTTTTTCCAGCAATGTTGGCTGGAGAAACAACTATTTGAAGAAAAAAATACTCACCACTACTTCATCCGGCGATCCAATATCATCGTAACAATCATCGTCCACGTCATCCAAAAGGTCTTCCCTGCCTCTGGGACTACTCGCGGAGTTGTCCTTAACTTTGGCCATTTTACCCCAAAGAAAACTACTGTTGACACCAGTCGAGTTTTCTGGTCCTCCTCCTCCTTTTCGTCCCGAAGCGCAATCTCCGCGTACACGTTGTCCTCAAAATCCGAGTACTTGTCTTTCTGAGGGAGTGGATTTAATTTGTCTTTGTGCAGCTTTGGAATGTTTTTCACGTACGATTCCACGTGAACGAAATTACAGGGCTCCGAAATCGTCAGGTTCTTTATCGAGGAGTCGAGAGACTTGGACGATACGCTTTTGGAGGTGAGCTTGCAAGCTTTGGAGCCGTCTTTTTGGTACTTTTTTTTCAATGTTAGTTTGGAATTTTTCACGCTTTCGGCGCTGCTCTCGTTTTCAGGGGTCAACCGCAGGTTTGCTTTCGACGCCACTTCCGTTTTGGATTTTCGCTTTTCTGCATTTGCCGACGCCACGAGGGAACTCGTTTGGACGGACTCGCAGGATGTCGCGCTGCTTGCCGATTTGGGCTTTGGCAGTGCCATCAGTTCCAACTGAAAATTAACATTCGCACCAATTCAATTATCTATTCAAATTAAAAAATCTTCCAAATCCGAAGTAAAGGTGATTTTTGAAGTGTGCAGTAACCCCACTAAATAATGTACATAACTTTTTAGTAAAAATGCGTTAATCTATGAATAAAGTTAGACATACTGATTTGTTATTTTTATCGCGCCTCATTGGGCGCAAATAAGCTGTTGTCTCGATTGCCATCACCTTCAATTTCATTCAAAACTCGAAAAAAGTGCTCTATGGCCATTGCTTGTGACAATACGTGTGCACGTAAGATCGGTGGGGATTATCACCGGGGACAAGAAAAATATTCAAATCGTTTGGACGTTACATTGTTGCGATGACCATCGTCAGCGTCACAACTAAAAGTCGCCGAGTTTGAAATTGTCGATAAAAAGTTATAGCTTATTTTGACGGTTATTCTGTAAATTGTATAAAAATGAAGTTAGCCTGAAATCGTTAACGATAGTTTCAACGGCCAGATAATTACTTAAAAGTAATGAAAAAAAAAAAAAAAAGAAGCGTCTATCAATTACTGCATTGTGGTTTTTTGTTTTGTTGATTTGATGGTCCAGACTTTGCGACTACATTTACAGATTGCACCAACGAAATCATTCGGCGCGCGAATATTGTAGAAGTACTTAGTATCCAAAAAACTAAAGAGAATGTCTGCTCGTAGCCTCCCAATAAATGAATCGCACCTGACTGCGGACTCACGCACCCGAGTTTTCTTGTCATTGATGTTCATGGGGTCGTCGGCATACCTAGTGCGTAAGCACACGTATACAAGAAATGATTGAGCAACGATGGCAAAGGAGCAGCATCTCACGCACAGAGGCTGGAGTCATTCCCTTCTCCCGGTAGAGTCGTATGTAGGTGTCCGCGCGCGGAGAGCGTGTATTTCGCTCGTATCGATTTTCGAGCCAACATCCGAAGCCTCGAGGAGGAGAGGACGAAATTCACGCGCAGTGAATCATACGGAATTAATAACGTGACGCGAGCGCTTTTTCGAAGAACGCGGGGAAAAGAGGCCCACGGTGATCGTATAATGCCTTACGTATACATAATATAAATGGTTGATCAATTTATCAATTTTTGGGAGTGACCGATGATGGTTCGTTTTCAATAAAATAGCGAAGAAAAACACGCGACTGAGAAAAAGGACCCAAAGTTTGTTTCACACTCGGTGATACCGCATTGGAGGAAAAAGTTCCATTATTTATGATGAAAAAAGTCAAGATGCGTTAATCGAGTATCAGAGTCCTGGAAAATCACTGGTAGGAAGCAAGTTGCTTTTGTTGACAGGAGAAACTGTATACAAAAAAGGAAATGCAGCCTAGTTGTGTTTTTTTTTTTTTTTTTTTTTTTTTTGTACTAGTAAAAGTCAGCGGTCAACTAGATGGCTGTAGAAAATAAACCGAGGAAACGTATATATGCGATAGAAAACTGTGGCTTTTCCTTTAAATTTCAACTGTTGAACAACGACTAAATGTTCATTATTCCAGAGATATGGAGTATCAAAAAATCGTTGAATGTTTTTATTGCATAGCCTTTTCGTGAAAATAACGGTACGGTTAATGGCTGTATCGTTGTAGTTGTGCTTAACGTTTTTCAAGTTACTATTGCAACAGCTCTTGTTGATATTTTGAGAATTTCTTGAAAAACACGGAAATTCAACGTCAAAAGGAGTTCAAGGAAGACGAAGCAACAAACACAACAACACGCTTTGATAATAACAATAGTAATTTTCGTCACTCAAGTGTTGCATTTCCAACGTGCTTACAATATTCGTGATGTTTGGATTTAATTGATTTTGTGTTTTTACCTCGAAGTTACTCTGAAATAACCTGTGGTAATAGTGTCGAGCTACATCAACGGAGGAATCTTGGCCAAAACAAAACCAACTACCAGCTGATACTCGGCAGAAAAAAGAAAAAGAAAAAAAAATTAACAAGACGTGCACTGAGAAATGCTCATTACAAATACTTTCTCTGATGCACAGAGCGCATACTCCAATTATTTACACCAGCCTGTAAAAACTCGAAGCAATGACTTCCGCGCGCGTTTCTCGGCAAAATTCAAGTATTTCGTAACCGATTTCGCAACGGTTTAGTGTCGCGAAACACGGCAACTCCGTGAAACAAACAAAACAGCATCAATAATAATAACGATGATAATAAAGAAAAAAAAGACCCCAAATCATACACCCACCGCGGATCGTTACCTTATCTGAAAATTACCAAATGCATATATATCTATACGGGTACGGTATAGTGTCATATTCATGTGGGCTTCCGCAAATGGCACTAATAAATTTCCAGGATTGACCCGTACAGTTCGCGCGGAATTCGAAAATCTCTGAGCAAGCAAGAAAAGCTTGCCTTGTGTATAAGGAGATTACGTCGGTCCTCCTCGTGGGTATATAATTTACGGCAGCTTATCGCGCGTCAACGACTTAACGCGTATACAATGTGATGTAGGTAAGCGATAGTGGTATCTAAGTGCGCCGCAACGATAAACGCGTCGGTGATTATCGATTTGACGTATTTTCGAGTTCCACGATAAAAAAAAAAAAAAAAAACGCGGCGCAACGAGCATCTCAACGATCGGCGCGCAACGAGGAATGCACCCATCGGCAGTATAAACTGTTTGTCGCGAAAAAAAGAATTTCGCGTCGCTCGCCAACAAAGAGTTTATATGACAGTGAACTCCCGCGCGTGTAACACAGAGAGAGAGAGAGAGAGAGACAAGGAAAGACACAGTGTAGTATAGTGACATCTCGAACCTTGATCGGTGCAACTCGGGGCATTGAGAGCCGGTGCAGCCTCGGGCCGTCCAGCGCGTGGACGAGCTTATCATTGCCGGTCGCGTTATCTGCGCCACCCGAGACCGGAGACTGCTGCGGTTTGGCGCAGCTGTACAGAAAACTCCGGTTGACCAAACCCGTGGAGGGGCCCATGCTTTAGCTCACTTATTCACCGATCGCACAGCCTAGTATCCTCGATCATCCTCCGGCACTTTTTGTCGAAATACACGCGCACGCACCTTTTTTTTTTTTTTTTTTTTTTTACTTCATTGATGCACACGGGTTTTCTTTATCTTCGGCGTCTGTCACAATGCATCTCGCCGCGCACACGCGTGCCCCTGCCAATATATAATCGTTTGTTATCGCTCTTGCTCTTCGTTAAATTACGCGCACAAATATCGGCTTGATGTAACAACGTCTGAAACCCAACACTGTAACCCCGGAGGTAAAAAAAAAAAAAAAAAAAAAAAAAAAAAAACTCGAGATTCTCGCGGAACGTGCCGATCGTCACGTGCGTATGTTGTGGAGCAGCGAGCGAGGCTAGCGTTAATCGATTCGGTGTCAATGAAGAAACGCGGGCGTCGATGATGCAACGCGAACGACGGGTGCGGAGAGCAGAGAGTCAGCGTTCGCGTCGTCGCGGAGAGACTGTCGAGTGTCGACTGGTCGAGGCCGAGAGGAGAGTGAGAGCTCGACTACACCTCTCGATAACAGATTTCTTTCCAGCCCAACAGCACCGGAGCGCCATCGCCGTCGCGGCGTGTGTGCGTTGCCGATTCTTTTGCTCTGGCTAGGTGTGTGTGTGTGTATATATATAACCGCGCCGATAAGTCAAACTCGTGTATATATACGTGTGGGCGTGAAGAGGACAGAGAAAGACTATTTAAATATATATATGTATGTTTGTATATGAGCGACCAATCGGCCGTGGTCTGAGGAACACCTGATACCATTGCAAGTCGCTCTGTACAATAGAATACGGCGCGGGTGGGGAGATCGGTACTGCGGTTGCCGAGAGAGAGGCGCTGTGCGTGGTCTTTGGAATTCCCGAGATCGGGTCCCTCCACCTCCTCCTCCTATACTGCAATTGCTCGTTTTCGCTGCAGGTTTGCTGCTGCAAATCCTGCGGAGGGACAGCATTGCGGGAACCGATCGCCGTTTAAAATCGGCAAAATCGTTTCCCCTCACCAAGCGACACTGGAAACAACTTTATTATTCAAGAAGATAAAAAAAAAAAAGTTTCAATTTGAACGTCAAATGGTGTTTACATCAAGTTTAATAGAATATAATACACCGATAACTACACTGCTATCTCGAAAGACGATCGTGGAATGGAACTCCACGGTGACATTTAGTACGTTATAAAACAACGGAAGAGAAGAAAAAGAAAACTAAGCCTCGAAATTTAATGCAAGTGCCTCTCACCCCCCGTGTAAATATAAACAGTGGCCGATCGTTTGGATGTAATATCGGTACTATGTACGGGTAATCGGTACTCGCTCCGTTAAATAAAAGCCCTCTGTATCTCTGGTTGTGGCGTATACAGGTATATAATATTTTGATTGGTGAGCTCTGAGTCATCAAAACACTTTCAAAAGGAAAACAAAAACGCCAAGAAGTTGCCGAGATGCGAAACTGGATCGCTGTGCCCCGCGCGAGAGGAGGAACAGGTTCAAAGCGTACGGAGCGCGTGCAAAAGAAATGAAGGAAAAAAAAAAGAAAAAAAAGCGAGAGAGAAAGGAAATCGGTTGCAGGGGGATGAGAAAAGGCACAGTCGCTGCGCATTCCAGCGCGGCTGACGCTCTTGGCGCGCGCATTATTTCCCAAAAGGTATAAGTGTCTATACATATACATGTTCCAGTGAAAACCTTTCTCTCTCTCTTTCGCGAGAAAAATCGGTCGGTGCTCATACCGGAGGGTGGGTGGGCCAAACGCTTTTTTGCTGTCAATGAAAGTCTCTTGTACACTATATGTACATCGTGCACGCGCGAATGAGCAAAGATGAAGATAAGTATATGTGTATAATACACTTGCCGGACGAGTCGAGCCGAGTGTTTATGATTATAATGTACATATATTTATATGCGCGTGTGCGTTGGGTATCCTTGGGATTCCGAGTGCTAACCTGTTCCTTCCACTTTCGCGTCCCAACTGGACCCTTGAACTCTGTTCCAGATCGATTTATCTCCTTTCGACGACTGGAGCCCTCACTGTTGTACTTAGAGGAGAAATAACAGCAATGAGAACGACGTCTGACCAAGAAGTCAATCTCCACCTGATGATGCTTGTGGTGAGAGAAGAAGAAAAAAAAAAAAAAAAAAAATGATGAGCTCGGAAGTTGCGGATCCGAGGCTATAACAAAACGAGGTCATCAAAAGTGCTTGCTGCTTTTCGTGTGTATATATATACAACGGATGTGTGGGATTTTTTGTTTTGTCAAGGCAGCCGAGGAGAGTATGATGTAACTTGCGACTTTGACTTTCAAGTCTAATGATTATGTTGTTAACAAAAAATAAAATAAAATTGAATACAGGATATTGTTGATGCATAATATATTTGGCGAGTAGGTCAGAGTACAATATTCCACGTAAGGACAAATGAGACACGATGTATCGTAAAACGTGATTTCTTTAGAAAAGTTTACTCTCGATCGACGCACGTTCGTGTATATTAATTTGTAGTTATATACATACACGTACGGCAGGTTTGTTTTTTGCTTTGTCTTTTTATCCAAGCGACTCATTCTACTACTCCAAGTGACGCGTGTATAAATGATGTACAGCCAAAAACATAAACATATACCATTAAATTGCCAAGCCAATATGTGTGCAAATGTGTCCTCGTACATGAGCTAAAATCTCGGAGCCTCGATTAACTGTTTCTTGTAGAACAAAACATTTGCACGATCATATAATAATCAAAGAAAAAGTGATTTATAATGTGATGATTGTCAATTTAAAAAAAAATTTTTTTTTTACCCCTTCAAAGATGGCTTTTAACAAAAGTCCTTGAGATCGCGAAAAGAAAAAAGAAAATAATTTGCACAACTATATTAATCACACGTACATATAGGCACAAGTGCTGATGTAGCCGATTGCATTTTAGTTCCCCTCATTGTTTTTTTTTCTTCTCTCCACTTAGTCGCGAAACAGTCCTCGTGTCCCCTTCCACTGCAGCGGTGGACTTTGCTGTATGTCTATATACACCCCTTTGTTGGCATCACCAGTTACACACGCTCGACGAGAGCATATATTATCTTTGCGACTTTTATATGAAATGCTTACATATAAGCTGCAGAAAACCAAGTTCTAAATCCAGTAGTCATTCGGACGCCGAGTTGGTCATCGGCCCTGACAAAGTTGCTCGCAAACACCTACCACTGCACGTACCCGAGACATGTCAATCGACGAGGTACTTACCCACAATCACCAACATTTCTAACTTGTTTTGTATTATTTTTCATTTTAGCTGCGCCAGTGCAGGATTTACAAAGTTTCGTATCGCTTGTTTTTTATTTTATTTTTTTATATTTGTGGGTTTCGTAGAAGCCATTCCATGAAAAACGGATTATTTCAGAGGCTGAACGAGAATTTTCTCATAGTAACGTAACAGGTAGTGTGACGGGCTTTTAGTTTTTATTTTGGCAAAGACTGACTTTCTCAATTTGCGCGCTTACGGCACTAGCTTTTTTCGTCATGGAAAAATTTGAAAAATTTTCTACAATAGGTACATTGAATTTCTTCAGAATACAAAAACTTTCCGATTTCAACATCCAAACTTAATTGTCTGCATTTTCCGTGGGAGTGTTAAATTTTTCAGATGTGGGTCCCGCAGGTTAAACACCATCAAAGTCTTAGATACATTTTTTTTTTTTTTTTTTTTTTTTTTTTTTTTTTTTTTTTTTTTTTTTTTTTTTTT